AAAACATCACTGGCAATACACTCTCTTGCTTCGCCCACTGTTAAGGGTCAGTGGGTATGGGCAGCTCCGATAACCACTGTTTGGTTTTAGAGTAGAGTAGGGAGACACCACTTGGAGTGTGGAGAATAGAGTCCATCTGGGCACATCGAGCTCGTTAATTCTGAGAGTCTGGGATGGATTAAAATAGAAGCAGAAGTGAGGGTGGGGAATGCAGAACGGCTCCCAGCCTTGGAGCCGTTGATGCCTCTAAACACTGGTTCTGCAAACAGGAATGCATCTTCCATGTTCCTCCAGCTTTGTAACAGAACTTCCTCTCTGAAGGTGGATTGTCTCCAGGCCGGGGTCTTCAGCCTCTCTCCTACCTTCTTCTTGTTCACTCTGCTCTTCTGGGGTTGTTTTAATTCATTGTTTAGTCCAAGAGCTTTTCTCCTGCAGTGTCTACCAGCCATCATGGAACTAATTCATTTCAGATTTTAGAGTTGGAGCTGTCTCTCCCTCCCGCCTCACGTGGGAAAGGAAGCTCTTGCTTCCATTAAATGCAACCCTGCCAAGTACTGCATTTTTATTGGTGGCAGAACAAAAGCAGAAAGCAAGTAGGAAAAAAGGCTGGGGTCCAAACCTAGGTCTGTCCAAAAAGAATGTGTGTGAACACCTGGTTCTGAGCATCTCTAAAGTGTGTCCCACAGGTCCATGCTGCAGAGCAGGATGACAAAGCCCAGGCCTGACAGCCAGATGGAAGGATGCACAGGGCAGGGTGTGGGACCCAGTTTAGAGAGCCATTCAGAACTAGGTGTTGACACACAGTTTTTGTGGTTTTTGCTTGTTGTTTTTTTGAGACAGGATTTCTCTGTGTAGCCCTGGCTGGCCTGGAATTCATTCTGTGAATCAGGCTGACCTTGAATTCAGAGATCCGCCTGCCTCTGCCTCCCAAGTGCTGGGATTAAAGCTGTGCACCACTACCACCCGACTTTGACACACATTCTTATATATGCTGTCTTATAATTGTTTCAATCATGAAGCCAGCTGGGCATCTCTTAGAGACTTTAAGGTTTAAACTCAGGGTATACACTCTTGGACACACGTAGCTTTCACCCGGAAATGCTCCTGCAAGCTGTGTACTTGTCTCACTGGTGTATCCAGGGGACCTCCAATGGTGCCCCAAATTTCTGCAGCTGCAAGTTACTCCTCCCTTCCCCATGTCCCTGTTCAGATGGTGTTTATCACTTTATCTTCAATAGTATTATATCTTCAATAGTATTAGTATGACCTATCTACACTGAGACTTCTTAGAGCTGGGAACAGTGTTTATCAATAATAAAAACAAAAATAACACTTCTATGCTAGTGATTTTAGTAGCATTTTTAGGTGAACAAATAATTACATCCAAGAAGACATGTTTCAAAAAGAGAAAAATGAAATAGTCAAATTAGAACCCGGCTGTTTTGTGTGCTCTCTTTAGGTCACAGCTCTGTTAAGGATGGAGTGGACTGCGGAATTCACCCAGTAACAAATCTTTACCAGCTAGATTAGCAAGGGGCGTGTTAAATAATTAAGGTCTTCTAGGCACTTACTTAGTGGCTTCATGTTGTAACTTATGTTTCCAAAATGGTTAAAACAAAGCCTTCTATTATAGGCTTCATGCGCCATGACTGCAGAAATCAAAGTGTGTTGATTTCACCAGGGCAGTGAAAATATACTGGTTGCCCATTCCAATTCTCAATTTCCGTCCTTAGGATTGCCAAGAACTAGGGTTTTAGAGAATTTTTGCTGTTGTCATCTTAACATATCGGATGTCTATAGTAGCTGAAGGCATTACAGTGTCCAAGGCTGTTTGGCAGTATCATAGATCAGCCCGCACTATCGAAGGCTAAGTGCAAGGCCAATGGCTGTAGATGCTGACTTCTTGCATTCAAACTCCTGTCTCTCAGCCTCAAATAGCTGTGCAGCCTTGGGTAAATTCCTAATTTCTGTGCCTCTGTTTCCTCACTTATGAGTTGAACTTGGATGATAGCAGCTATTTTATGTAGTTAAGAAAAACAGCATCAGGTCAGGCAGTGGTGGCGCAAACCTTTAATTGTAGCACTCAGAAGACAGAGGCAGGTGGATCTGTGAGTTCGAGGCCAATCTGGTCTACAGAGTGAGTTCCAGGACAGCCAGGGCTATACAGAGAGAAACCTTGTTTGGAAAAAAAATGGGAGGGAGGGACAGACATTGACAGAGCAGCATCAGTTTGTTTCTGTTTAAAGCACATCTGGAACTATGATATGTTAGTTGTTATAATGGCCAGAAAATATCAGAAGTTTCTCCTTATTGGAAAGGACAATGCTTACTCGAAACATTCTCCAGGTTTCCTAGTAAAGATAATTTTGGTGGTAACATTTCCTTGGAGCCTGTAAGGCATGGTCATGTCAATATTAGAGATATGAGGTCCTTGTAGGTGAAAGGAAATGGGAATCGCTATTCTCCAATGGGAAGATACCTGGGTTTGTTCCAGGCTCCGAAAGTGACTCATCCAGGTGTCAAGCACTTCCTGGTGAGATTGAGATCAAGTAAGAATGGAAATCTGGACAGCCTTGAGATACAGGGAGTTTGGAGGGAACCTGTGGATACTGAGACTCCTTTAGCATCGAAGTAGAAAGGAAGGGTTAAGGAGATAAAATCAAGCCACAGAAGCCGGGGCGGCTTGAGAGAGCAAGGAGTTAGCACTGAGGAGACTTGAGAATTGAGGAGGGGACCTCTCGCAGGTAACTCACTGATAGAAACAGGGAACTCTGGGAAAGGGCAAGTTAGGAGAATTGTATCAGTTTGCAGTACAGATAGGAAAAGCCAAGAGAACTACCAGAAGCCAGGCAAACAGTGGGGTAGTGTAGATGAAATTTAGGAGTCGTCTCCGGACGTGTGAAAGTGTTGACCATGTGGAAATGTATGTAGTTCTTTGAAACTTGGAGCACTAGACTCAGAAGAGACTGCATTTCTTGGACTGTGAATTCTAAGATGAGTGTCATGAGTAGGACTTCATTTTAGTTGTCGTATGAGTCACCAGGTGAGTTTCTCAGCTGGCCCTTTAGTCACTCTGTTCCTGAGCTGGGTAAAGAACTTCCTGTTTCCGTTTTGCTCACCACACACTGATGGACAGTGACTCTAACACTGGGAAGAATTTGGCTTAAATTATAAAATTTAAAGGAGTGTTTAAAACCTTAATATATTCCACAAGACACTCTAAGGACAAAGGACTTAGCTTTAAATTTCAATAATTTCAAGACCAGAATGTTTTATAACCCTACATTTCATGTGTGGTTTTCAATGGGTTTAAAAATACTCGGTGGGTATGTGGGTGGTTTCTTGTGTTTTGGGTAACAGTGAGAATATGAGCTGCTGAGCTTTGGATTCTGGGATGGGAGCTATAATTACTAACCAGTGCCTTCCTGGGATTAGTTTACGGGTGGATATTGGTATCTAAAAATCCAGCAAGCCAGAATCCATAGCATCAAGCCCTGATTTTCCCCTGGAAGTTAAAATTGTGACTGGCAGTAGAGGGAGCCTAAGCTTGTATCTTTGCTGGCCTTTTTCCTCTTGGTGACCATTCACATGTGTGACAGAACAGAAGTGAAGGTTGGTGTAGTGGCTTCTCCAAGCCTAGTGCCCAGCAGCCACCACACAGCTGCTATGGAAACATTTCTAAATATAATCTAGGACTGACTTCATGTGCTCCTCCCCCACGACTCGGCGGATGTGGTAAACACCCTAAAAATACCTATGTGCTGAACTTTTGAGGTATCAGAAAGGAAGGGGCAGGAAGGCCCAAGGACTGGACGAGAGGTCCGGCACTGTCGGAAGGCTCCCGCATCCTCCAGGGCCGTTGCCCACTGGGCGGGCCTGTCTGCAGAACTGTTTGGTGTGCTGTGGTCCATGTCGTTCCACTCAAAGCTAAGAGCTTGCTCTCCAGTCTTGTATTTACTGTTGGCAGGTTTCAAGGAAACTATTCATAGAATGACATCTGTTCCTTAGCCCATTGGCTTCAAACCTGCAGCTGCTACCATACAGGCAAGGACTTGAGCTTCAGTTGATTTCATAAAATCAGAATTTTAGAGCTGGTGTGTTCCCAGTCCAGTGTTCACAAAACCATCACCATCTGTAAGTCCTAGTCTGAAGGAGTCACGTTTCTATGCTCATGTAGTAACCATAGAAGTTTGAGAATGGAACCTGCTCTGGTTACTAAGCAGGCTATTGGTTATTGTTTTCACACTCATGATCCCATAATATAAAAGAGGAATACAAAAATCTTTAAATCATCCACTAAGTGATTGTGCAAAGCCTTTTCTGTTTTTGCTTTAAAAAAAAAATCTGTGAGTCTGAAGAAGTAGCTTATATGTTTGGTGAAGTCCCTGTCGAACAAACATGACGACCTGAGCACCTGCATACAAATCCAGGTGTGTTGATGTGTGCTGGTAACTACAGGGCTGGTGGCGGAGACAGCTGGGTTCCTGACATTCACTGGCCAGACAACCCAGCCTGTCTGATGAGCTTCAGGTTCAGTGAGAGACCCTGTATGGGTGTTAATGAATCAGTAAGTCAAACAATGAGGTTTGTTTCTTCAACAAATTCAGTGAGCACAAGGTCTTGTTGGTGATGTGACTGGAACACCAGCCATCCTGTCTCCCAGAAGGCTTTGCGTGTTTGTTCAGCTTCCAGACTTGAAAAGCATAACTGAGATATATAAGTGGTTGACCATTGGCAAGTTCTGTTTCTCAGGAAAGCCTTCATAGTTGGTTTCCAATGTCCATGGATAGGCTCAAAGTCGAGGATATGGTCAGCACTATCATCTAGGACAGATGAGTTTCTTAACTCCTATGCCTCCCCCCCCCCAGTCCCTACCTGTCTGTCCACTCTGAGGAGGTCCGGTGCGGACACCAGGACATCTCTATGTCACAAGAGTCATGGGAGGAACATCTGGTGATGTAGTTCATGGTCTCTCCAACATTTCTCCTCTTAAATTCCAGAATGAAGAACTTCGGAACTTATCGCTTTCTGGCCATGTTGGATTTGACAGTCTCCCTGACCAGCTGGTCAACAAATCCACTTCTCAAGGATTCTGTTTCAACATCCTGTGCGTGGGTAAGTGAAGGTGTCCCCTCTTGCACAGAAGGGGACGTGTTTCTGGGACAGGAGGATGAGATGAAAGCGTATTCCCCATTTCCTCCAGCTAGCAGGGTAATAACTGCTTGCCCTGTGTGGCACCGTTATGAAGATTCAGAGCTGTATTTGGTAAGTGCTCTGTAGTTTTGTGGTACTACTCAACTTGTCTTCATTTCTGTCATGTGGCCGTGCAACTGGCCAGTCTTATCTTGTTATGAAAGCATTTATTGTCGTTTTTCATGGAGAGAGGAGGCACTGGACCATAACTAGGCTACAGGAAGTTGAAAGAGCTCAGGTGTGCACTAGTAAAACATTCAGAAGCCTTTAAGCCCTGGTTCTCAATCTGTGGGTCTCAACCCCTTTGGGGGGTGAGTCACATCAGATATTTACATTACAATCTATAGCTGTGGCAAAATTACAGTTATGAAGTAGCAGTGAAAATAATGTTATGGTTGGGGGTCACCACACATGAGGAACTGTGTTAAAGGGTCACAGCATTAGGAAGGCTGAGAACTGCTGCTTTAAGCGATGTGTCCCTAGAGTCCCGGCCCCCTGACTTCTGTGACCAGCGATCTCCTGGAAGCCTTGTGAAGACACAGCCAGTCAGGAAGAGTTAAAATGACTCTGACACCTCAGTGAACTTTTGCTCTCAGGACAAAAGCAAACAAAACAGCCAGACTTTGGATCTGACCTGCTCTCCTTAAATCGGATCTAAATTTGACCTTCATTTCATTCCTTGTAGACAAATCCAAAGAGATCTGACTCACACCCTCAGTGTGTTTCATTGAGCTCCTCTCCAACACCCGCAGTGGTCACCGCTGGCGTGGGGGTGGGATGCTGTTCCTCACTCGAGCTATACCCTCTCTAAACTAAGAAGAGAAAGGTGCGAAGGGGTGACAAACAAGAAACTCAGAATATAAATCTATTCCCTTGATTAAAAACTGTTCCTGAAACCCCCTCACCGAAGAGCAGGGAGCTCGTTTGTGGTGTGGAGTCCCGTTGCCACAGTCCCCCTTGGTGTCTCCTTCAAGACATTACCCTGAGACAGACAGAAGCCTCTCTGTGTGTGGCCGAGTGAGCCGTCCCCCCCTCTAAACCTGACAGAATGGGTTAGACTGGCTTCCTGGCTAAGTGAACCGAGGTAAAATCAGAAAGGTTTGCCCTCAGTGTGAGAAGCACGCGGGCTCACCCGGAGCAGGAGCAGTTGCGGCGTGGATGCGTTTCTTCTTCGGGGCTGTTACGGGTAGCCAGTGAGTAGGGAGTATGAAAGTCAACAGTGTAGAATGTGACAATTGGCCAGCACTCTGGGCCAGTTTGTTCTCTGGCACTATGTTTTAAACTGTGGCTAAGAGAATGGCAGGAAAGACGTGGCCAAAACAGCCAACTCATGTATGCGTTTGTGTGTGTGTGTGTGTGTGTGTGTGTAAGTGTAAGCCTTTTTAAAAATGTTGAACAGGGCCCTCTTGAGCTCGGTTCTACAGAATGACATAAATGTGTTGTCTTTTGGTGCATGCTCCTTGCAGAGCAGGGCAGTTCTTCATTAGTAGCAATGTGCTGGTTTCGTATTAAAAAGTGTGCTACATTATAGTTCTGGGCCAGTTACTATTCTGACTTCCCTTTCAAGCCTCCCAAATCCCTTTCCAAAACGGTTTCGTGAACTCATCTGAGAGTTGCCCTGTGCTTGCGGCACTGTAGAGGGGAGCTATCCTGGCCAGAGGGCAGGATCTAATGGTGCGTGGCATGCAGCAACTTAGTGATTGACGTAATATGTGCTTGTGACTGAAAAGTTACAAAACTCCTACCTGAATTTGTGTTCTTCACAGATAACCCTGGATGCTTCTAGGAGCTACCCACGTCCTTCTCTCATGAGAAATTAGGCTTGTGACACAACCAATACATTACCTTTCAGTTGTGCAGGCAGAATTCTGCATTGGTCTGTGGGTGGCATTACTTACAGGAACTTTAAGGGAGAATGAATCCCTTGTTTTTTATAATTTCAGAGGATGCCTGCATTCTTGGCTCTTGGATCCTTTCCCTCATCTTCAATGGAAGCAAAGCCTTTCTTTGATTATCATTCTTATAATGGGGAATTCTTTTTCACAGAGAATTAGAGAAATACAATTTAAATGTAGCTAAGATTGCCTTCCCCTTGCCAGACGGTGGTAGCACATACCTGTAATCCCAGCACTCAAAAGGCAAAGGCAGGCAGATGATCTTTGTGGGTTCGAGGTCAGCCTGGTTTACAGAGTGAGTTCTAGGACAGCCAAAGCTACACAGAGAAACCCTGTCTCAAAAGTTAATTAATTAAAATAAAAATTGTCTTCCCCCTACTATAGGTTCAGGAAAATAAAATGATGCATTAAATGATAGAATTAAGAATAATTGGTTCCAGGGTTGGGGGCATGGGCTCATTGAGCAAACACACTTGCTACACAAGTGTGTATACACTTGGTGCACATAGGCTTCTATGATTCCAGTGCATCTCTGTGAGGTGTAGAAGGAAACAAGGAACCTATGGGTCCCCTAGTCTGGCATGCAGTCAGAAAAAAATAGAGACCCTGTCTCAAACAAAGTGGGAAGACCAAGGCTTCCACACATAGGAGCTGTCACTCACTGACACATGGATGTGTGTGTACACACACATTGTGTACACAGACACACACAACACAGTGCCTCCTGGGACGGAAATATGTGGTCAGAACACTGTCCACTTCTGATGTTGCTTGCTGGTAGCTTGTTTGTGTTTATGCTTTTTCTCCCCGCAATTTGGCTTCCAGCAATTACCAGCTTAACAGCTGCGGGAAGGAACAACCCATTCCCTGACACAGATCACTGAACATCACAGATTTTCCTGCGTGTGATGTCACATGCCCAGCCTGGCTGGGAGTGGAGGTCAAAACACAAGTGACTCCCTAAGGAAAGAAAGGCTTTACCAGAAGGGAGAGGGGTGTGGGCCCCCCACACTGGACAGATAAGGACCCCAAGTGCACAGGTGTTTGGGATTTGGTTTACACAAAGGATACACTGTTTAAGTACTTGGAGTTTTTTCACTCCATAGTAAATCTCCATATACTTCCAAAGCAGGGTATGCAATTCTTCATATGTCCCAGATTACCTTTCACTGCAGTTTGGCTGTGGTTTGAGCCTGTCCCCCAAGGGTTCGTGCGCTGGGAGCCTAACGTCTGTGAGAGGCACTTAGATTTTGTCCTCAGAAGGGAGGAGAGTGGTTCTCCTGGGTCTCTGCACCTGACCTTCTGAGAGGGCAGCGAGAGGACTTACACTGACTACTCCTCAGCCCCTGGCTTCCCGTCTGGCCATGAGCTCTCTCCTATGTGTTCCTTGTCGGTGTTCTCGTGCAGTCTACCGTTACTAGGTCCTCATTAGCAACACTGAGGCTGGCACCACACCTTCAGACCTCCCCAAAGCTGAACTAAGCAGACTTGCTCTCTATAAAATTACCGTCTCCGGCCTTTCATTGTAGTAACGAAATAACATTATAGTAACATTAGTCTTTGGGCTGGGCGGTGGTGGCGCACGCCTTTAATCCCAGCACTCGGGAGGCAGAGGCAGGCGGATCTCTGTGAGTTCGAGGCCGGGCTGGACCGACAGCCTCCAAAACTATACAGAGAAACCCTGTCTCGTAAAAAAAAAAAAAAAACAAAAAACAAAAAACAAAAAAACATTAGTCTTTGGATGCAGGCTAGGCATGTCAACATAAATCCTAGCACATCAGAAGCGAGGCTCAGTCAAGCTCTTCACCGCAGGTATTTTATAGCGACAGCAAAAGCAAACTCCTGTTATAAGTTTGTTAGAAAGTGCTCTAGCCAATCAGAATATGTGGAAAGTGAGCACGTGGAGGAGGAGGAGGAGGAACGGGGGAGGAGGAGGAGCAGCCATATTTGACTTGAGTGTCCATGGAAACTCTCCGCTACTTTTCATCCTAACTTGTCTCTTGTGCTTTTTATACATTAAACCACCCACGATATTTGTAGCATTATTTTACTTTTTTCTTTTCTTTTTTCTTTTGTTTTTGATTTCTTGAGACAGAGTCTCACCATGTAGCCCTGGATGTCCTGAAACTCTATGTAGACCTTAGACCAGGCTAACCACGATCTCAGGGATCTGTCTCTACCTCCTGAGTACTAGGATTGAAGGTGTGTGCCACCACAAATACCCCCTCTGCGCCTAGAGCTCTGCTGTAAGCTTTGAAATGCTGCAAAGTCAGTGTCCATCACTGCTTTTCTGAAGATGTCGTTATGTGTTTGATGGGAGCTGGGTCCTGTCCCTAGTAGGCTGTCAGTTAATCAGTGTGGTGGTTTGAATAATTGGTTCCCATAGCCTCATAGGGAGTGGTACTATTAAGAGGAGTGGCCTTGTTGAAGTAGGTGTGGCCTTGTAGGAAGTATGTGCCTAGCTCAGTTCACTTCCTGATGCCTTGGGATCAGGATGCAGAACTCTCAGCTCCGGCTCCAGCACCATATCTGCCTGCATGCTGCCATGTCCCACCGTGATGATAATGGGCTAAACCTCTGATCTATAAGCCAGCCCCTTTATAAGAGTTGCTGTGGTCATGGTGTCTCTTCACAGCAATAGAACCCCGAAGACAATCAGCACGCAAGCAAAGCATGCAAGCAAAACACTCAGACATGTCAAACGAAAATAAATCTTTTTTTTTTTTACAAAGGAGGCAGAAAAAAAAACGACATGTTTTTGCTTTATCGGAACTTCGAGGTATGGACAGAGCTTTGCATTTAGAGTTTAGACTGGAGGTTCAAAAAACTGCACTGAAAATCTCCCCTACGCCAGGTATGGTGGTGTGTGCCTCTAAGCTTCAAGCTTGGGAGGTAGAGGCTCAAGAGTGCAAGTTTGAGGCTTACCTGAACTATATAGTGAGTTTAAGTCCAGCCTAGGCTACAAAGCAAGACCTTGTCAAAACAAGAGATAGCACGTGCCTTGGGTTCTCTGAGTGGCGAAGGTCTGCAGATCTACGTGAGTTCAAGACCAGTCAGGACTACATACTGAGAAACTGTCTCAAAAGACAAGCAAAAGACAGTTGGAGAACAGCAAACCAAGGGCTTGGGGGTGCAGCTAAATGGCAGAGCACTTATATAGCATGAAAAAGGCCCCAGAACTTCAAAAGTCCATGTCCGTTTCCCCCCCCCCCCCTTCTGTGGCCCTCTTTACTCCCTGCTGCCGCTTCCCACACTGCTGCTGCTGTTGCTGTGTCTAATTACAGCTCTTAAAAATGCAGAGCATAGACCTGGAGAGCCACATGCTTGGAAATTTAGGAAAGTGATTTTTTTGTTTGTTTGTTTGGTTTTTTTTGTTTGTTTGTTTTAATCAGTTGATTAACTTCATGCTATAAGTAGGGTCCAGAATGCTAATTGTTCACAATTTCCACCTTAACATAGACAATCATTAAACACGCCATGTCTTTATAAAAAGATGATGGATGGTATTCCCAATTCGCATGCACTTAAGTAACTCTCAGCTAGTAAAAGGACAAAGTAGTTGCAGTCTCAGGTAGCCTAGACTCCTTGCCTTGTAAATGGGAGTTTTATTGCTGTCCTCAGGGAAACATGGAGAGAAGTGGGTCACTCTGCGGTGGGAATTTCTGGGATGAGGGCATTGCTTGCCTCTTTGCTGATGTCCTGCAAGCACAGTTTCCTGGGAACCAAATGGTCCCTGTGCAACACGTGCTCACAGTGGTATGGACACTGCCACCAGCGGACTGCCCAGCCCAGTCCAAGTCTCTTAAGGGGAGAATGCCCTTTCTTATCTGTGTCTATCACATACATAACAGTTTTGGTTTGCTCATGGCTAATTGGGGAGGACCATGGTCTGGGGAAGGGCTCCTTGTGAAGAAGCAGAAGTTTGTCTTATGTTATTTTTATACTGGTGTGTGTGTGTGTGTGTGTGTGTGTGTGTGTGTGTGTGTGTGTGTGTTCTATGCACAAGAAGATGCATATTTGAGAAAGTAAGGAAGACCAAACTCACTCTCAATCCGGCCAGACGCAGAGCCATCTGGAATGACATCCAGGCAATAACTGAGGTGCAAGCTACCAGAATTTGTTTTCGTTCACCCTGTCATCCCCACACCTAGACTCATTAGCGTAGTAAGCACTCAAATACTAGCTCTGTAACTCAGTTTCTGGTGTCTTGCTTTTCTGTATCATCCGTTCTCTTCTCCTGTATTCCCAGCTAGTGCTCCGTCTCCACCGCGGCTTCCGTGTTCCCAGCCTCCCCTCCCCCCCTTGTTATTTCAGCACATTTCCTTCTCTCTGCATGCCTTCCCGTTCTCGTGCCATGACGACGTGCTGATGGTCTCTTATTCAGAGATGTACTACTTGAGTCTCATATGCAGCCCTGCAGCAGCCAGACCTCTGTGGTTGCCTTCGGGCCAGAGGCCAAGCTGTAGTCCAGTCTTCTGTGGTCACTCACGAGGTCACAGAAGGTGTGGCCTCGCTCATGAGAAGGGTGTGACTATGGTAGGCGCTTCAAATGCTGTTCCCATAGCACACCCTTAAATTTGAGTCCGGTTGGTATTTGGTTACGTTCTACACCAGATCCTGAGATATGAGAGAACACCGGATCAGCCTACTTCATTGTTGTATTCCTAGAACTTGGCACAGAGCTGGGTACATAGTAGGCACTGGAAAAGTACTGGCTAAAGAGGGAGGAACTTCTAGGATCTTAGATATGTCAGGGGCTCAGTGGGAGAGGCTAGAGTAAGGAAGATGCACTCGAGCAACGTTTCATCCTAGAAATGAACCAGCAAATCGATCAGAGCAAGCCACGTCAGGCTGCTCATCAGAAAAAGCCCAGTCAGAGAGCTCCCGCATCCCTTCACATCGTGCTGAGAAGTAGTGATTACAATAATACAAAGGTTCTCATTACTCAGTTTAGTCCACTTAGGGAGAGAGTTGCCTTAAGGCTATAGATTCTAGAATTCCTCTTTTGCCCATGGGCGTTCACCATCTGGGAAGAGGTTGCAGCTTCTCTTCGGGAGGGGGACTTCAGGACCATTGTGAGGTCATGCTCAGGAATTGCTGGGAGCCTGACGTGTGTTGACACATTTAATTGAGTCTAAGGGGACATTAAAAACGTGCACTTTATAGCTAGTGCACGTTGAGTTCTACCTTCTCGGCATAATCCTGTCCACACTCAACCGACATCACCAGCGACAGGCTCGGTTCTCTGTCCCCTAGCTCCGAGACTGAATAGATGAAGTTGTAAGAGAGTTTTGCTTGGTCCTACACTGAAGACTGAGACTCCTCAGTGGATTCATCCTGGCCTCACCTTTGCCGCCGCCCCCCCAGGTTGATACAGTTGTTTTGGTGTCTTTCCCTCTGCTCTGTGCATATGAGGAGCCCAACACAGACCCTTGGCTTGAAATCACTGCAAATCAATAAAGCCATTGCTTCAAGTCCTATTTAGAATAATCATCATAAATATGGCCATGAAATTCATAAACTAGTGTTTGTTATCAGCTGAAGAGAGGAGAGAATGGAGGGGGCAGAGAGAGAGGGAAGAAGAGAGGAAGAGTAGAGATTGACAAAGATGCCTAGCCATAGTTATAACAGAGTCGGAATAAATGTAAACACCGGAACCATATATGCTAGGTTAAAACTCTGGCTCTGCCACTTTACACTGTGACTTTAACCAAGATACTTAGGAGTCTTAGTGCTCTGTCTGCCAAGTGCAGGGAGCTTCAGTGCCTAGGTGTGGGGACAGGTAGTATGAATGAGGACCCTGGGGACCCTCCCCTATCTATCTTCAGTGCCTAGGTGTGGGGACAGGTAGTATGAACGAGGACCCTGGGGACCCCCCCCCTATGGTGGGCCTGACACAATGTAACCACTTAGCAACTTTGGTGGTGATTGTTACCAAAGAGTTGTTCTGATACATTAAATCCACTAATGTATCTTTGCTTAAGTAATAAACTTTACAGACCAGTTCAGGAGAAAAAAAAGGTAGTTTTTTATCCTTGTGGTATACAGAGTGGCCGTAGGCAGACTCATAAGTACTGACTATCTAGGGATTAAAAATGTCTTTTTTTTTCCATACCAGGGATGGAACCCAGGGCCTCATGAGTGCCAGGCAGTTCTGCCACTAGGCTGTATCCCCAGCCATTTCTTTTTACTTTTTATTCCGAGACAGAGTCTCGCTAAGTTCAATGTGTAACCCTCCTATCACAGCCTTCTGAGTTGCTGGGATAGCAAGCCTGTACTATCAGGCCTGGCTAGTAGAAAATATCCTGATCTGTAGGTTCAAGGCCTCTTCTGCTCAATACTTTATGAGTTTAGTGGCTCCTCTAAGGAAGTGTTCCATAGATCATCCAGAGAGAACTATAGAATTCACGGTGGAATTTCCAGAAATATTGCCCTCCCTGCCTTTTAACTCAGTTTTGACTTTTCTTTTGTGGTTATGTAGGTGAGACGGGTATTGGCAAATCCACATTGATGGACACTTTATTCAACACCAAATTTGAAAGTGACCCAGCTACTCACAACGAGCCAGGTGTCCGGTTAAAAGCCAGAAGTTATGAACTTCAGGAGAGCAACGTACGACTGAAGCTAACCATTGTCGACACAGTGGGGTTTGGAGACCAGATTAATAAGGATGACAGGTATGTCTTAAGATTTTTGTAGCTATAGAAGTAGGTCAGGAGATGGGCAGCTCAAGGAAGCTCTACCCCAGGTACATCCAAAGGCCTAGAAGACTTGGGGTGCAGAATTCTCAAATTGTGTCTGACAGCTGGGAGGGCGGGTCAAGCCTAATGAGGAGTGCAGATCAACTGGATGAATTAAATTTCCTCCACACAGAGAAGATTATCTAATTAGGTGTGTGTACATGGGAAAATAACTCTTAATTAAAAATTAAAATGTTTCCAAAGCATTTTGGCATGGTGGTTTGAATATAGGTAGAGGCTGCTCACTACCAGTGGATTCCTGGTGTAGTCATAAAATCTGGCCCTGATTCATCACATAAGCTTGAAGCTGTATTGTAAAATACTGCGGTGAGTTTTTATTTTGTGAAACACTAGCCCGTTTGTAAAGCCTCTAATGTGGGTCTTCACCATGAGCGTCCATTTGCCTCTCCTTGAAGGAAGCTATTAGTTCTTAAAGCTTGCCAGAGTGGGGTATGCGCGTTGACTGTCCTCACAGGGTCACACTCTTGCTCCTCTCGTGGTCGGTGGACCCATTCTTCAATCTTCAGATGGCTGGACTATTTAAAATATTCCACTTTTTCTCAAACCGTTATCTGAACCTCCTCCAGTCCATCCCCTGCTTAGATTCTCTGTAGTAAAGGAAGTGGGTTCCCTTGCAGTTTGGCCAAACCAAGGGGAGAGATAACTTCATTTCTACCACCATGCCTGTGGTAGCCTTAACATTTATAGAAAACCATGAGGTCAAGGCCAGACAATGTACATTTCACGGCCCTCCAGGGTGGGGATGGGGAAGTGGGGGGGGGAGACTGACACAAGCCCTCAGCCTCAGGATGGCTCCCTTCTCTCCATCAGTAGCAAACTGCCAGCATTCTCAGTGTGGAGGCTGCTAGACTTTCAGGGGTTATGCTTGTACAAAAACCAAACCAAACCAACCAACAAACAAACAAACAGTGAAGGAGACTAAAACCGTCTCAGGCTTAAAGAGCATTCTAGACACGTTTTTGGATAATGACAGCATTATAGGGCTATCTCGCCCCTTCTAGTGGTCAATAGTTGTAGGATGTTTTGCTCATGAACCATGTCCATGACAGTTTTGAGAAATCCTTTCCTCAGAATGGTGTGTGTGTCTCTGAGGATGTAAAGAGAAGTTGGAACCCTTTTTATGTAGAAATATGTGTCATCTAGATACATTGTAACAGTACTTCAATAAGTTCTGCAGTTCCTGACAGAAATACACAGTTCATTCTGTGACTGAGCAGTGTTGTGTTTTATCTGCAGAGCACTTGAAACACTCTGCAGTAGACATGGTCCTGCTTTAACACAGGCAACTGTTACTTCAGCGACAAGGACTTCATTTGCATATGATCAAAGTAGGGCCATCTGTACCCAGCTGGGGAAGGGACAGTCAGGCTCTATGTGCCTAGGCTTGATGGGCAGGTTGTGCCCGAAGGCCATTTTAATGTGAAGTGCAACACAGGAGGAAAAAACTCTGGGGACCAGGAAAAGGACACAGGTGCATTGTGGGAGCTGGAGACAGAGCCAGGGGCTTCTATTCCCTGCGAGGTCCAGGACAAGCACAGAGGAAAGCCTGTCTCGGGCTTTGCGGGATAGATTTCTTCTGGGAGTTAGGGAATTTCATGTTTACGAATTCCCTGGCTGGATTCCTGTCGGGCTTCCCACAGGCTTTGACAGCAGCCTCCGTCTGACATCTTACCGCCAAAGACCCCTGTGCTTTTCCAGCTTGCAGTCATTGCCTCAAGACTGACACTGGTTTTTCTTTTGCCTCACCCCTACCCGAGACTTCCCCTCAGGCTGGTGGTTTTTCACTGGCCAGCAGCAAGCTGCAAAATAGCTAAGCTAGTACCCTGCAGATCCTCATATCTGCATCTGGAGCCCTCTTTAAGAAATTATCTGACTCATTTGGGTCAAATAATAGTTTCCAAGGAGACCCAGAAGAGAGGAAGTGTGATATTAACCTAACCTAGATACCAAATATTTTTTTCCTCTTTAATTTCTTGACAACTCTTGCTTAACCTTTTCAATGGCTTTCGGAGCTCTAGACCCATGCCTCAAAAGGCATTGTTGACAATTGACTGTAAACTTAAATGACTTATCTAAAAATAGTTGCTGGATGGTCTGTTTCCAACAGAATATTGGAAGTGGGATATGCATTTTTGTATCAGTGTGTAATGATATAGGAAGGGATGCACTCTATCTCAAGTCAGACTTATCTTTTTTCTATTAGGCCAGCTTTTCAGCCATAGGTCCAGGACATCAAGAATGTCCCAGTGTGTTTATAGATTTGGAACATGTCGACATTCTTGAAACGTTATCTTCCTCTGACCTGGCTAGCTAGAAGGAGGCAGGAAGAGGGGCCTGGGAGGATTTCCTGTTATGTTTAAGTCTTGTTTTAAGGGCTTCCTTGCTCTGGCTGTCTGCACTCATGGATGAGGGAAGAGGGTCTGGAGAGGCAAGAACCCACAGAGTCTTGCTCCCTAACTAGAACCAAAATAGCTTACCCCACCTTTGGGGAGGTGCCGTGAACTCTAAGATAACCAGCCTGAGAACTGTGGACAATCCAGTTCACTGAGAGAAATCCCGTCTCCACCACACTTACAAAACAGCAGTGAAGGGCAGTGTTTGACCTTTCTAGCCAGCTTCCTGGCAGAGGAGTCCAGAGGTAGGGATCCTGGCAGAGGAGTCCAGAGGTAGGGATCCTGGCAGAGGAGTCCAGAGGTAGGGATCCTGGCAGAGGAGTCCAGAGGTAGGGATCCTGGCAGAGGAGTCCAGAGGTAGGGATCCTGGCAGAGGAGTCCAGAGGTAGGAATCCTGGCAGAGGAGTCCAGAGGTAGGAATCCTGGCAGAGGAGTCCAGAGGTAGGGAATGGTCTTTGGTTAACAGATAGCAAGAGGAGAGGGAAAATACGCTAACACTTTAGTCATGGAGTCAGTGTCTAAATAATACCATTTTGCAAGAATGACCAAAGGAAAAAATTCACATAAACTAGCTTTTCCCTGTAATTTTAGGGTGAACACATCTCATTTCACTGTATTTTTTTTTTAAGTGAAGTGAATGAATAAAATGACTGGTAAGGAATGGTCCCTTAAAAGGACATTATGTTAAAGTATAACAACTTCTTCGTTCTCTCTACCTCCCATACACTTGATAGGGCTACAATCGAGGGAAGTTTGAAGTGACCACAGAACACAGACAGGTGTTCTTTCTATAGCAATGGAAACTGACAAAAGATCTATCTTTCTATGAATACAGATAACAAGAAGTGAAAGGAGGTTGAGATGCAGTGAATGTCTGTTTCAAGGATGGGGGGGGAGGGGAGGGAGCAGACCACTGGCTGGCCTGTTTTCCCAGAGGAAACTGTTCATTGTTTCATTCCCATAAAGAAACTTTAGCCTAAGGAAATTGTTCTCCGAGAGTCTGTGGCTTTCGTTTGTTTATAATGATGTAATTTCCTCTCTCCTTTTCTTCTTTAGGTCCTTTGTCTTCCTCCTCCTCTTTGCTTTAAAAAAAAAAAAAAAGCCAACCACATGCCACATTCTTTTTATTGATTGGATATTTTGCTAGTGATGTTGGTGGGAGATAGTTATATCTTTCATGAACTAGGCCTTCCCTCACTTGCGCTTCCCTCACTTGCGCTGGATGGAGGAGATTTCATTCTTGCCTTGAAGGGGGGGGGGGGGTCTACAAGTTGCACTCCAGGTGGAGGACCGGCTCCTAAGGGGCGGAAAAGAACAATTGGCAGCGTTCTATAAGCAGTTGAATGCCTGGATCTGAGGCTCAGCAGAAAGACTGGGTGGGGCTGGAGGTGGAGAGCTGTACTCGTCATCGAAGAGATGGTCAAAATAAATGTGGTTTTCCAGGGCGACCACAGAGGAAGAGAGGGTGAAAGGCTGACAGGAGGTTGGTAGAAGCAGCAGAGGAGGCCTAGGGTACAGAGAGAACAAAGGACTCAAAACCCAACTCTGAAAGCAGCCTCTGCCACGCCCCCACTGCACCCCGCCCCAGCATGGAGGTGCATCAAGACAAGAGGCAAGGAGGGAAATTAGTAGAAAGCAGAAACAAGCTTGGACTGCTCCTGAGACAATGCAGGGTCAGCCCAGACTCAGAGCCAGGGAGGCAAGGACACATTGGGAGCATCTTTTCCTCACCGTGGGATAAGGGGTTGCTGAGGAGAGAGAGCATCCCGCTGCAGCGTTAGGAAACCCTGTGGCTCAGCCGCCCAGACGTGATGGGCTGAGCTCCTGGACTGTTCACTTCCGTACATGGTGGGGCTCTGCGCTGGGGAAGTGGGTCGTGAGGAGGGTGTGGAGTTCTTAACGCCTCCGCCCCTCTTAAAAACAACTACTTTCCTTGGATCTACTACGTTCTGTGTAGGCACTTATCTCATTTGGTTCTCTCTGTAATCTAGGAAAAAAGAAAGCATTAGCAAAACCCAGCTACAGGCATTCCAGAAAATTCTTTACATCTTCTACTCCATTCACTTGTTACCGTAGCTCTATTATTAAAAAGTATTTATTTTATTTAATTTTTTCCCTTTTTAAGGACAGGGTCTCTTGTAGCCCAAGTTTAGCTGGAACTTGCGTAGCTGAGGCTGGCCTTGAACTCTTGGTCTGCCTTCATGTACCTCCTGGTACTGCTTTGGAAGCGTGTACCAGGATCTACTCAAGGTATTCATTTGCTCCCTGACTTATTTATGGGGAAAGTGAAGCCCAGAAAGATTTAGTGACCTGTCTAAGGCCATGGAACCGGGAGCTATGATGCTTGCTTTTGGACTAAATCCACGGTTCTCTTACACAACTATTTGAAAATAACAAACATGAGTATTGTCATGTAAGTTGTGCCTATATTCCAAAATAGAGAAACAAAAGAGAATCTTATCAACCACCATCCTTTGCATTAGATCAAGGCTAGCTACATATCAGGACTTTGCCTCAGAACACCTAAACAAGGTTCTGGGATCTGGGTTTTGAAAACCTTGTTTTCTTACTACTGAATTGTTCTTACAAACTTAGAGCAGAAAGTAAGTCTGGAGAGAAATAACACCTTGCATTCCTAACATATCCATCTCGTTGCTGCTAAAATGAAGTCCCTCTGATTGGTTCCCTTGGAGACTGAAAGGGCTAATGGGCTTCCCCGCAGTAATCAACATATTGCTTACTTCCTGTAAAAACTTTGAGACTAACACATGAAACTGAAAATGTGTTTCAAAAAGAATGTTCTTCTGCATTCTAGCTATAAGCCTATCGTGGAGTATATTGATGCCCAGTTTGAGGCCTACTTGCAAGAGGAATTGAAAATTAAACGTTCTCTCTTCAACTACCATGACACAAGGATTCACGCCTGCCTTTACTTCATCGCCCCCACGGGACATTCACTGAAGTCCCTGGACCTGGTCACCATGAAGAAGCTGGACAGTAAGGTACTGAGTGCGACTCAATCCACTCCAACCGTTTCTCTAAGACCCCAGGTTATTTTCTGGAATGCCTGTAGGTACTGAGTGCGACTCAATCCACTCCAACCGTTTCTCTAAGACCCCAGGTTATTTTCTGGAATGGAGTAGAAGATGTAAAGAATTTTCTGGAATGCCTGTAGCTGGGTTTTGCTAATGCTTCTTTTTTTCCTAGATTACAGAGAGAACCAAATGAGATAAGTGCCTAAAAACTTCTTCTGAGTGTTAGTCAAGAAAAGACAAAACTAACACTACCCTTAGCTCTTAAATGGGGACTGGAATACAAACATGTTTATCCCCCCCCCCATGAAGGTCTGTAAAGCACTGGCTATAATTTGAATTTAGAGTGGTATCAGATTTTAATGTTTTGCCTGCTTGAGGACACTTACCCTTTCAGATTTTAAAACTACTTTTGTCTCAACAGAAAATAAAATCTGCGTTTCATTTTTGGCCCTGGGCTTGCCGTGTTTGTAGCCTTTGTTTTTACAGCTCTTGAAGGAAGGGGGATCTTCAGTGTGGTAAGATCTGATGTCCAATTTTGTAATTAATTCAGTTTTCTGTTTTGAAATAAACAGAAAACATTGTTGTGAATTAGACAATACAAGGGACATCAAGAGCAAAGGCAAACTAAGCCATGGCCCTTTCTCCTAGACTTTGGCACTTGGTGGAGATTCCTACTGGATGATCAAAGCTCTAGGATGTGTTATTGGGTGTTATCCCCCCAAAAGAAACTGTAAAGATTCTTTCTCTACCAAGAACTGAGACATAGAGAGACTGTCCCATGTTCCCTTCTGGACCAGTCAGGCTCCTTGGGGTTCCAGCATTCACAGGCATGGTGCTTTACAGAGAGACTCTCTTGAAACATTATTATTATTGTTATTATTGTTACTACTACTGAACTTCGATTCCTGGGAGTTTTGCCTTGCCGCTGCCCGGGTGGTGGGAGATCCCATGTTGGGAGGGCTTCTCCCTTCTGCCTTATCCTTGGAAACGGGCAGGCCCTGCTGCCCTCTAAGCAGCCATTTGTTAGAGACATTCTGAAGAAAACAGATGAGGGTGGCTCTCTGCTTGTGGAAAGGAAAAAGGAAAAACTAGAGGCCTAACAAACACAAACAAACCAAGCCAGAGTCCAACTTCAAAGCAGCTTAAACTTAGAGACAACTCAATTATGATGCTGTTGGACAGCTAGGTGGCGTCTGTCGCTGCTGTTTATGCAGTTTCACTTATGAAGATAAAGGGACGAGTTAAGCAATTATGATCATTTTAGAAGATTGTAAGTGCCTGCTCATGTGGTAGTTGGGTGTCTCTGCCTACCCTGGTCAGTTTGGCCAAGAAACCATGACTAGGTGTCGTTTTGTCCATGCTGATTCCGTCTCAGTCTGAAGCGTGTGCACAGGCAGTCAGCAGGCATCGGGCTCTGATCAAGCCCCTTCTCTGCTGTCAGAATCCCTTCTCTGGAGGAAGGCCCAAGCCCGTGGGGTTTGGGAGGATAGGAGAGATAGATTGAAGACAAAGACTTTGTCAGCATGTCCTCACATTCTGGTTCATCAGGAGTTTCTGATTTGGCCCCGGGAGAAAGGGGTTGGTATTTAGCTTAGTGGTAGAGCTCTTGCCTAGCAAGTGTAAGGCCTGGGGTTTGGTCCTCAGCTCTGAAAAAAGAAAAGAAAAGAAAAAAATTCAAATGTGACCGAAAGACCGTGAACTCCTGAATTGGGCAGAATCTAGATACAGACTAGCATAGCATAGCAGTCATTAAAACACCCGTGCCTAGAGAAAGAGGGAAAAAGTTCATCTTAAACCATGAACTTAAAAAGAAATGTCATTTCTTTGGTCCCAGCTCTCAGGAGACAGAGATAGGAGAATCAAGAGTCCCAGCCAGCCTGAGTACAAAGTGGGTTTGTGGCCAGCTACATCAGAGCCTCTCTCAAGAAGAAAAGTAAACTGTGACCTTTGGACAGGGTTGGGGGAGTAGGAAACACTGTCCTGGGCTCTTACTCTGGGCTGTCTGCCATTAATGTCAGACTCTGAATGCACCCCTGTTTGTGTAGCTGAGACTCTGAAAGTGAGCCTTGTTGGTTTTGAGCCAGGGTCTCATGTAGCCCATTCCAGCTTCAGACTTGCTGTGTAGCTGAGGATGGCCTTGAACACCTCATCCTCCTAACTCTGCCTCCTTAGTGCTGGGGTTATATGTTCGTGCCACCATGCTCAAGGTGAGCCTTGCTTTTGATACTGAACCTTTTTATGAAATGAAAAGGTCGTTTGATAAAAACTGATTTTCAAAAGATTTAACTCTGGGTTTGGAAATCTAAAAAATAGGTAATTTTAAAATATTTTATTATTTTATTTCTCACTTTGGTTTAATACTTGAATCTCCCAGAAATTTTCAAATCATCAGGAGAAAGGAAAGGGGGTCCTGCATAGCATCCATGATGCTCTCTACCTTAGCAGTACTGCATGGGCATGCAAAAATCAAGCCCCAGAAAGGAGTGGTTGTTTATTCAAAGAGTGGACTGACCTCCTTGTTGCCACTATTTGTCATAGAGTAAAAACACTTCCTTTTACTCTGTAAAGTGGGAGGTGGTACAGGAGAGGAAATTACGAGTATCAGTGTGGGTTGTAAGGCAGTCAGCATTCAGAGGGTGAGCTAAGATGATTCTGTGTCTGAGTCTTACATCTTAAGAATGTCTGATTGTCAGCATCTCCTGCATCTCCCAGTGGTACCCTGTAAGGATGCCTGATTGTCAGTATCTCCTGCATCTCCCAGTGGTACCCTGTAAGGATGCCTGGTTGTCAGCTTTGCCTGCATCTCACAGTGGTACCCTGTAAGGATATCTGGTTGTCAGCATCTCCTGCATCTCACAATGGTACCCTGTAAGAATGTCTGATTGTCAGCATCTCCTGCATCTCACCATGGTACCCTGTAGGGATGCCTGATTGTCTGCATTGCCTGCATCTTACAATGGTGCCCTGCAGCTTTGCCTCATTCCGTACTTTTCATTGTCCAGTTTTCGTTCTTGCAGCAGGATTGTGTGAACATGGGCATGCTTGTTTTACAGGTGAACATCATTCCAATAATTGCAAAAGCGGACACCATTGCCAAGAACGAATTGCACAAATTCAAGAGTAAGATCATGAGTGAACTAGTGAGCAACGGAGTCCAGATATATCAGTTCCCCACGGATGAGGAAACAGTGGCCGAGATTAATGCAACGATGAGTGTAAGTCGTTAGTCAAGTGGGGGCTGGTAGGAGGCCTTCCAGACAGCTTGTGTAGTGGCAGCATTGCAGAGGGGCTGGAAAAGCCTGCGCTGAGGTCTTCAGTGCGACGATGAGTGTAAGTCGTTAGTCAAGTGGGGGCTGGTGGGAGGCCTTCCAGGCAGCTTGTGTAGTGGCAGCATTGCAGAGGGGCTGGAAAAGCCTGTGCTGAGGTCTTCAGTGCGACTCCAGCTCTGCTGTTGCTGTGAGTCATTTAACAAGCCAGTGCCTCAGTTTCTCCAGCTGTCAAATGGGAAAGACAGGCAGGATTGTGTCAGCTTTCTGGGCACTCTGGTTCCTGTGGGGAGTCTTCTAGGAATGTGACACTGGTCCAGGAGCTCCTACAAAGTAACTCAAAGGAGGGACCCCTGACTCTGGCCATGTTGGCAGAAACATGGTGCCTTCTCCTCTGAGCTATTTTCCGTGCTTTCCTGAATCTGTGGGAAAACCAGAAAGGGGGGGTGCTGTCCACAGCAGAGAGGTAGCTGCCAGGAGATAAATGAGCTATCTCAACCCTTTCATTGTTTTCATGACCAGATCTCATCTAGCCCAAATTGGCCTCAAACTCAAAGTATAGCCAAGGCTAACTTCTAAACTCCTGATCCTCTTGCCTCAGCCTCTTGAGTCTAAGCTAGGGTTATAGGCATAAACCACCATGACCCGACCAGTTGCTTTTTCTCCAACCATAATTTATTTACCTGTTTTAGAGAGTTATAAATACTTCTTTTTAAATTAATTTTTAGTGCACAAAAATAATGACTTTCAAAAGTCTATGTTATTGTACTTTGCTCATATTAACCCCTACTTATGGGGAACCAAGGAAGCCCTGAGTGAGTAAGGAACTATTGGAGTCCTGAGGGAATATGTATTGTCGACATGGGGTGACAATATCAAGGACCAATGCCTCAGGTCCATAGGAATGGCAAGCCATGACTCTCAGAGGGATAGCAAAGCCTTTCTCTGGCCTGAGTGTGAATGTCGACAGTGTGTGCAAGTACAGGTGTGTGTAAATGATGGATTAGTGTGTAAAACAAGCCACTGCAGCATCTTGAAGCTTACCGCTCACTACAGAGACCTCCGCCTGAGACTAGCCAACGCTCCGTCTCAAGTCAAAACAACGCAAAGACACAGAATTATTTTTAGTTGTGTGAATGTGAGTATGTGCATTTGAGACCAGAGAGGCTTTGGATCTGGAGTGGCTGTGAGTTGCCCCCACTGGCAATAGAACAGTTCTGGTGCTGGGAATAGAACTCTGGACCTCCCTAAGAGCACTGCACTCATTTGTAACTGCTGAGCCATCTCAGGTACCCTGGACCAGGGAATTCAAATACCTTGGCACCACACAAAATGCTGTGTGTTCAACATGAGCTGTGGATGCTGTCATATTCTGTGTGGAAGAAAATTCACCGTGTCTGCTTGAGCTGAGCTTGGCTGCCAGGCTGGAGCCAGCATTTTGAGCTACAGTGTATCTCTGACTTGAAATAAGTGCATTGAGGAGGAGCCTTCTGTTCTGGAGCTGGGGGCTCTGCTCAGTGGTCAGCTCATACCTAGCATGTGCAAGGCCTTGGGTTCCACCCTGGCTCTGAAAAGCCAGGAAGTAGAACAGCTGTGTTCAACAGAAATGCAATGTAAGCTAGGCACAGTCCATTTAGACATCAGGCCTTTGGAATCCCGTGTTTACTTCTAGTGACCCTGAGCCTCAGATCAGAGTTCACATCCATCAGAAACAACTGATCTGCATTTGCATGTCATGAAATTACAGTCAAGAGACAAACCATGCATTCCTTCTTCCTAACATGCTTTAAAATTCTTCCTTATGAAGACAGTTACCAAGATAGTTTTTCTTAAAATTTGCATTGCCTTCATAAAACTGGTCTCTTTTTTTTAAACGTTTGATTTGAGCTCAAACCTAAATGAAATGTAAACTTCTACCAATCAATAAACTTAATATTTAATGAGGAGGTATTTTGCATTGCTTTCATTTTTAAATTTAAACGCGAATCAATTAAAAAGTGAAATTTAAAAGTGGTCATCTTGATCCCACAAGCTATATATATTTCAAAAGATTTATTTATTTGTGTGTGTGTGTGTGTGTGTGTGTGTCCCGGGGGTGGGGTGTGTATGTACCATGTGTGTACAGTGCCCATGGAAACCAGAAGAGAACATCAGATCTTCTGGAACTGGAGTTACAGATAGTTGTTAGCCACCCATGTGGTTGCTGGGAGTTGAACCTCAGATTCCCGGAAGAGTAGCCAGTGCTCCTAACCACTAAGCCATTTTTCCAGTGCTCCGCAAGCCATGTTTTAAGTACCCTATGCACACAGGCAATGGATGGCAGCTGACAGATGGCATGCCACTCAAGCTCAAGTTGGTCCTTAAATCTAGTTTGTATTTGGCTGCGGAGAGCGCAGTTCATGAAAGGCGTCCGCCCAACTACAGGGACCGCCCCCATCCTCTTTCATGTGACCACCTTTCTCCACAGAAAGGGGCCCCTCTCTAGCAGGGAGAGTGATGGGGCCAGGGGAAGCTGTGGCTGGAGCTGCTGGGGATAACCGCTTGCTTCTTCTGTCGCCTGACAGGTCCATCTCCCCTTTGCGGTGGTTGGCAGCACTGAAGAAGTGAAGATTGGCAACAAGATGGCCAAGGCCAGGCAGTACCCCTGGGGTGTGGTGCAGGGTATGTCTTGTCATGGGAAAGGGGCTCTCATGTTAGTTAGTGCCTGGGAGGAAGAAATGATGGCCGCATTCCTTCCCTCCCCACGCTGTGTAGGGAGGTGTCCGCAGGTGGGAATCAGTGGGGCTGTGTAGCCACCGTGGGTTTGAGGAAGAAAGAAACGGTCATCGGGCAGGCTAAGAGGCAGCTGCTGCAAGCCCTGATCCTGAGGCAGCCCCTCAAGATGTGGGGCTGTGTGGGAAATTAGCAAAAAACTCCTAAAAGAGAAAAGAGTCCTTCACAGGGAGTTTGAGCCAATTGCATCGGCAAATCATCAGAAAGAAAAGCTGGGAGAGAGAAAGTCTTCCAACAAGAGCGTTCTTGTTTCCTCCGGTCACTGGGAAAGTTGTTTTCCAAGGAAGTGTTATTTCAGCAAATATCAGGTAGTTGGGAATGGCGGTCATCGGGAATAGCGGCGGCTGAGAAAAGCAGCGTTATTTAAACACTGCCCTGCTGAGTCGGGACAGCACAGAGTGCTAGTTACAGGTCTGACTTTGGAGCCACGGTATCCCTGTTGGGCCGTCAGCTGGCCCCAAACCCAGACACTTCACTCGCAAAGTGAGTCACAATCTGCTTGGCAGAATGGTCCAAAAGGTGCAGGAAATCTTTGGGAAGCCCACCCTCTTTCCAGCATCTTGGTTAGCACTCCATCAGGGGTGGAGGGAGGAGCCACCAAGGTGTCCTTTATGCCTCTGAGACCTCAGAGGGACAGTGACAACTTTGGTTTTCAGTGACTTCACTGCTGATGGACTTTCTCCCCGTGACTGATTTCTTGTAGTTGAGAATGAAAACCACTGTGATTTTGTGAAGCTGAGAGAGATGCTGATCCGCGTGAACATGGAGGACTTGCGAGAACAGACACACACTCGTCACTATGAGTTGTATCGGCGCTGTAAGCTTGAGGAGATGGGCTTCAAGGACACCGACCCCGACAGCAAGCCCTTCAGGTATGAGCACACACCTGACAGGAGTCTCAGCTGGTGGTTGAGGCAGCACAGAAAGGATTGCTGGGATTGCGGCTCTGGTCCTAGAGCAGCTTGGTGAGGAGGGATTGATGGACAAACCATCGGGTGCTGTGATAACCACTTTTCATTATCTCTGCTGAGTGATGTGGTGGTGTTGTTGCTGCCCTCATTTACCAGTGCTAACGTTCAAAGCGCCCCAAATGTAAGCAACCTGCCTAAAGTCCTAGTAGTTAGGGAAAAGGGACTGATCTGAATCCTGGCTCTTGAGCCCAATCTCCTAATTATGTTTGTGGGGTGTAGAGCCTGGCTCACACACCCACAGGGCACAGCTGGTGGCTAACATTTGCCATATTCATTTGTGCTGAGCAGATCTAGCTTCCCAAGGCTCCTCGCTTTCAATTACTCTGTTTTAAAACAAACTGTGTGTGCTGTCTTCTCTCCAGCCCGTGGGTTTTCTGTGTTCTTTCACACTGGTGCAGTTCTTACAGAGGGTAGGAAGGGAAAGAGCTTAGAAAGTCTGTGTAGTTCCCACATCACTGATGGATGGACATGCAAAGCGTGAGAGGAAGAAAAGGTCATTGTAGCTGGAGAGGCGGCTCAGCAGAGAGAGGACCTGGGTTTGAGTCCTAGCACCCACAGCGAGGCTCATGGCCATCTATCTGTAGCTTCAGCTCCAAGGGATTTGATACTCTGTTCTGCCTTCTGTGGGCACCAGGCACACAAATGATGCATACATACATTCAGGCAAAACACCCCTACACATAAAAATACATTTTAAAAGAAGGTAGGCTCAGCACCCTAGCAACTGCCTGCCTTCCAGCAGAGCTTCCCATTGGTGGAGAAAGGATAGCCTGGCTGGGTTGGTTGGGGGCGTGGCTCTTGAGTCACTGGATGGTGAGGCTCAAGGCCAGGTTGCCACCTCCTGGTAGAGGAAGGGATTGTCCAGTCTGAGCCTGAGCAGTTTCTTAATGGAGATCTCAGTTGAGACAACAGGAGGTCTGTCTGGACTCAGCCTCCTCTGATTAAAGCCACAGTGCCTTCGAAAAACTGGTTTTCCACCTTTTATGGTCACCATCAGGACACTCTCTGAAATCTACAAGCCATAGAACTGATGGCCGGCCAAAGAACCTAAGACCACCAGTGCCCAGTGAAGCAGTCGTCTGAACAGCCCCTTTGGTGGGAGGAGTTCTCGCTTGGAACCATTTTGGAGAAAGTTCAGTGCTTTCTGGGCTAGTCCCCCACACAGCTGCACTCCTGTCGTGTTTGGTGAGAACACATGTAAATCTCACACAAGGGACTAACTTCTAACCATCCGTCATTTAATTCAGTCTCTCAGGCTTATGGAGTGTCTGCAGCCAGGCAGGATGTGGCTCTGGGAAAGCAGGTATAGCAGGCCTCTCTGTGCCTGCAGCATATTTACTGGAAAACGACCCCATAAAATCAAGCCCATTTGAGGGTTATTAAGTCTGCTGGAAAATGGCTTTTGCATAGAGTATTTGTTTCCATGCACACAAAGAAACTTCTGTAAAGTCAAATGTAATGGCCAGGGCTAGATAGTGTGGAGGAGCTTGGTGTGTCAGGAGCCAGAGTTCAAGTCTTAGCTCTGCTGCTACTCATGTCCTTAACCCATTTGGGCCAGATCAGGGAACCAACTAGACATAGCAGGAGGACTTTGCTTACAGACCACAGAATCTCATCATAGCTACCCAGTTCTGCCCGTCTTACTGGAAATCACCTTAGACCTTAATATAGATGAACGCACATGTCTGTGTTCCAGTCTTATCGCAGTAACAGGAAGGAGAGGGCTAGGAATGTTTCTGTAATCTACCAACACCTGGCCCTAGTCACAGCCTGGACTCCTAGGTTGTTAGAGGCAACTCACTGTGTTAAACCCATTCCGCACACCTGTGTTCTTTTACGTTCTGGAATTTGAGAGTTTGGAGGGTCTGGGGTGTTACCGGTACCTGCTAACAGGAGGAGCCAGGTGGTCTGTCTGCCTTTCATCAAAGAGGCCGCAGTTCTTCCACCAAGACAGCCAGGGCTGCATTCCTGCCTATGCAGGCAAGCAGTCCATCCATCTGTCCATCTGCGCACCCCCATCACCCTGCCGACTCTGTTGCTGACATTTTTATTGGCAGCCTAGTATTCAGGCTGTGCCATCTTCCAGGCTTCAGATCTAGCAGGAAATGACACTGAAGTCATGGGCCCCACCTCCCACCCCATTTGGTCCCATTTCTACAGGCCCTAAGATTCTTTTTTGATGTTGAAATAGGAAAATGTTTATACCTATAGATTATTACCAAGACCTGTATACATTTTTTTTTTGTTTTGGTTTTACGAGACAGGGTTTCTCTGTATTGTTTTGGAGGTTGTCGGACCAGGCTGGCCTCGAACTCACAGAGATCTGCCTGCCTCTGCCTCCTGAGTGCTGGGATTAAAGGTGTGTGCCACCAACCAGGCTCCTGTATACATTGTTACCAAGACCCATATACAGCATTACCAAGGCCCACCTTGCTTACCTTGAAGCTCAGGATTGGCATCTCCAGGAGTGGAGCTAGGGGCATCTGTATTTAGAAAAGTACACCAAGATATGCCCATATAGCCATGGTGTGCCACCAGGGTGACTCCGCTGTGCATGATGAATCCCTTGATGGAGGAGCGTGCTTCCTGTTTTGACTCCAGAACCCGCCCCTTTGAAGCCTGAAACTAGGTCATCTCAGAACACAGATTGGGTGTTGTTTCTGCCTAAGGTTGCATTTCTTGAAGAGAGAGGTCCCTTCATTGTACTAATTAGAAACTAGATTTTCTAACAGGGCCAGGTTATCCTCTGCCATGTGCAAGTCTGATTCACAGGTAAAGGTGATGAGTTTATCACAAGCGGATGAAGATGGTCATTCGTAAGTTATTCTAAAGGTCTGCTATGGATAAAATTCTAGGTCTCTTAAAACTGAAATATAAACATTGCCATTAGTATTAGCCAATACCAATATGCCCAACTTGTTTTTGTCTCATGAAAAATAACTTCTGAAACTCAAAACTCATGATTGCTTATCAGCAGAGGTCGTTGGCAATGTCCAGGCAGAAGACCTTGGTTTTCGTGAGCTAATGGGGCGATCAGTTATAAAAGGGTGGAATCCTGCCCTGGTTGTTATGACTCTAGCAGTCTGCTTGTTGCTGTTCCCCCCAGGGTGCTTCCCCATTGGGTTTTCCTTTTTAGTGGGCAGGTGTGAATCCTGGGAGTATCCCTAGTTGCTATCTAGTCTTTAAGTGTGCCCTAGGGGTAAATCAGCCTGTGTTAAAGGTAGACTCTACCTGCAGGCTCTGTTACCATACAGCTGTTCTGATGAACTACCAAAGAGAGAAGGGAGTGCCCTATAAACACCAGCCCCGGTTTCTTTGTGGTACTTGAGGTGTGTGTTTGGGGGGAGGTCCTTTGTGTTACCAAAGGCGCTTTCTTCCTCTGTAAACGTCTTTGTTCTGACAGAAATGCAGTGAATCATGACATTAAGGATGAGGCGCAGGCTCTGAGTTCTGTAGAGCGAAAGAGTGTAGGACTCAAGATGAAACCAAGCCTCCTCCCCACACACTTAGAGTTGCACTGTGGCTAGAGAAGTGATCGTTTTTTACCTCGCCTTTAGAAGGCCTTCTTCTCACTAAGTCTGTTTTCCTCTCTGGGGGTTGTTAGAGAAAGATGGGTGGAGGAGGGCGAATCCTCATTAAGTACCCCTTGTATGTCAGAATGCTTTTCTCATTTTCTCACAGCTTCATCTCAGGGAGGAGAGGGCTATTGTGTCCGAAAGCCCTGTGCAGGGGCCAAGAGAGCTGTGCCTACCAAGGTCAGCCAGTGGGGGAGGCCAGAATTACAGCGCTGCTCTGTCCAATCCAGAGCCTGCATTTCACCATGACGCTAGGCCCTCCATCTTGCAGAACTCTTGATCCTGGCTGGTTAGCGGCAGGCCCTTGGTGCTATGTTATGCTTTTGGTTGTATTGTCTCTGCATAAAGAAGAAGGAAGCTCATTTCATTCGTGCTTTAGCGTGCTAAAGCAGTAGTTGTCTCTTTTTTGGGTTTTTTTTTTTGGAATGAAGGGGGGGTTAATGACATGACCTGAAATGTATGATGCTGTCTCATGCCCTGCCTTGGTTTGTGGGTTTTTAATAGTCTTCAAGAGACGTATGAAGCAAAAAGGAACGAATTCCTGGGAGAGCTGCAGAAGAAAGAGGAGGAAATGAGGCAGATGTTTGTCATGAGAGTGAAGGAGAAAGAGGCGGAGCTTAAGGAGGCAGAGAAAGAGGTGAGTGGTGCATCCTCCGGGGGCGGAGACCGGAGATGGGCTTTCTTATTAGAACTTTGCAGGTGATGGGACCTCACACGGGTACAAGGTGGTTCTCCTGCCCCTTTCTCTCAAGATCAGCTTTCCCACCAGGCAAAGAATATGCTGGCCACATACTCTCGCCCCCATTTAGCAGATGGTAAACCGAGAGCCATGACATTGAGTGATTTTTGCAGTCACCAAGGCTAAACCAGATCTTAGGCCTCTAGCCCTGATCATGTGGTCTTTTCAGCTTGTGAGTTTCCTCAGTTTATAAGTCCTCAAATGTGAGATTTGGGGTCCGGCCAACTAAGCAAGCTAAATAGAGGAGGCACTTCGCCCTATGATCTTAGCCACACCCCACGCTCGCGCCCGCTGCTCATGATTCCAACACGATTCCGGCTATGGCACCCTCTGACTCCACCCGGATCCCCACCCAGGCCAACCTCACCGTTTAATTTTAATTTAATTTTTACTGCAGCACTTCCCTATGGCTCCATACTCCTCAAAATAATGTTTGCATCTTACCTTGTTGTTTAAAAGACTAGGAGAACTTGGGACTGCGGAGATGGTTCAGTGGTTAAGAGAACTGGCTGCTCTTTCTCCTGGGGTCCAGGCTTCAATTCCCAGCACCTACATGGGGGCTCACAACTGTCTGTGACTTCAGTTCAGGGGATCTGATGACCTCTTTTCATCTCTGTAGGTACCAGGCATGCAAGCGGTACACAAACATACATGCAGGAAAACACACATGCATATAAAAATAAATAAACCTTCTGCGAAGGCAATGAGGCTTAGAGGCTCCTCATGAAGCTAAATGCTTAAAATGGCTTTGCTGTAGAGAAACGAAGATTGACAATATTAGCTGACTGTAGTGGATGATGGGTTGAAATTCAAACTTTGGTAACCACTTCCCTTTCGGTTTTTTGTTTCTGATTGTTTTCATTGTTTGGTTCTGAAGATCAAGAAAGGGCCTCATGGTAGACCTTCTGCACTGAGCTATTTAAACAGGGTGTGTGTGTGTGTGTGTGTGTGTGTGTGTGTGTGTGTGTGTGTGTGTATACACTTATGTATGCAAAGAGAAGGAACAATATATATATATATATATATGAACACTGTAATTTCTAAGTATTTTATATGTATTCATAAAGGTCCCCAAACAAGAACCCACTTTTGTCTCAAGGGTGGCTTTGTTATTAGGTTCATGGTTAGTTTTTACTTTTTTCATGCTTTTACATTATTTACATTATTTAAAATTGTCTATGTGAGGGGTTGGGTCAGAAGACAACTTGAAGGAATCTGATCTCTCCCCGTGTGGGTTCCAGAGACCAAACTCAGGTCAGGCTTGGCAGCAAGCACTTTTAGCCAGTAAGCCACCTTGCTAGCCATCTTGATGCTTTCAAAGATAATGTACTTTATTTCTGAGTATGCTAATGTGTGCTGTTAGTCCCTGCACTCAGGAAGCAGAGACAGACAGATCTCTGTGAACTTGAGGCCAGGTAAGTTCCAGACAGCCAAGGCTACATAGAGAGACTTTGTCTCAAAATACCAAAAACAATAGTAGATAATTAAAGAAGTACCTTATTATCATAGAGAGTGCCCAAGAAGCGGTCAGCCCTGAGGAGCTCAAGTGTTAGATGTCCGGGTCTCGGCATTCTCGCCTTACTCTTCCATTAGCCATCCAGATCCTTCCCGATTGTCTTAGCCACCCTCCTGTTGCTGTGAAGAGACACCGTGACCCCAGCAACTCTTATGTAAGAACGAATTTGGTTGGGGCTGGCTTACAGTTGCAGAGGTTTAGTCCATTATCATCATGGCGAGGAGCATGGCGGCATGCAGGCAGACATGGTGCGGTGAAGGAGCTGAGAGTTCTACAGCTGGATCTGCGGGCTCCCTCCCTAGTGACACACTTCCTTCAGTGAGGCCACACCTCCCGATCCTTTCCAAACAGTGCTACTCCCCGATGGCTAAGCATTCAAATATCTGAGCCTGGGGTGGGGGTGGGGGGCATTTTTATGCAAACCACCACTATGCTAGTACAGCCAGGGACTGCACACTGCGATTTTGCATAGGCTATGTGCAAAATTCAGGTTTTTATTCCTTTCTCCGAGCCCATTTTCCTTTCTCCCTCCCAGCTTCACGAGAAGTTTGACCTCCTGAAGCGGACACACCAAGAGGAGAAGAGAAAGGTGGAGGACAAGAAGAAGGATCTTGAGGAGGAGGTGAGCAACTTCCAGAAGAAGAAGGCAGCCGCTCAGCTCCTGCAGTCCCAGGCCCAGCAGTCCGGGGCCCAGCAAACCAAGAAGGACAAGGATAAGAAAAAGTAAGCAGATGTCGCCCGCCTCCTGCGGACCGCTAACAATCTCTTCCTCTTGCATGTCTACCCTTCCTACTTACAGACTGGAAACTGGCCTATTGCCAGGAAAATAAAAGCAAGTATTTTTCTCTACAGTGCAGGGAAGATGACAGAGGTGTGCAAAGGTATTTTTAAAGGGCACAAGGGATTAGCTGATGAATGTCACTGTGGTGACCAAGCAGTCAGGACTGGAGTAGCCTGTCAGCTCTTATAGCAGCTTCAGTACAACCCCAGAAGTGCTCAGAGAAGAAGGGCAGGTTTCTCTTAGTGCCTCTGGAGGCCTTCTCCTGACTGGTAAAGGAGCACTCTAAGATCACAGTTGCTCACATGGTTCTCTGCTCTGTTAGACAGTATGTTATTCCACAGTGCCGCTGGTGGGTGCTGGGTTGTCCCTAAATTCAAACAAGCTGAGTGATTATCTTATTGTGTAACTCAACCAGACGCCCACCCAGTTAGCAAATCCTAGCAGCCCTCACGCCACCGCTGAACCCCACACGGGGCGGTTTCAACACAGCCTTGATTTCAAGTGCCCAAGGGCCAGGTGATGTCGCCACTCCAGTGGCGCCCCAGCAGCAGCTTTCAGAAACCAGCGGGAGAGGTGCGCATCCTTCAACGTCTGTGGTTTGAAGCTGTCCACTGAGTCACCTCAAAGAGCAGAGTGGGCAGTGTCGTGGCAGTAGCTGTGGCTTTGGCAAGTGTGGTGCTAGGGAAGCACTTGGAAAACTTTTCCACGGCCCCGTAACAAGCCCTGGGATGCCTCGCTCCTCTCAAGCCTGCTGAGTTAGCACAGTCGCCCAGGCAAGCCTGGAGCCTGCTTCATGGAACCCGCTTGAGGGTTCTGCTTCTTCATCCGTAGATGGCTATGGTGCTGGGAGAAAAGCAGGTGGCTGGGAATAGCAAGAATGGCGAGACTGATGCAGGCAAAGACTTTCCTTCTTTGAAAAATGTAGCACTTAGGACTGAGCCTGCCCAGTCCCAATCAAGACTACCTGAGGGCAGGCAAGCCAGCCGTGTCCTGCCGCCGCTTAGTCCTGGCTCGTGCGGGGCAGGCTTCCCCCTAAGGAACTGTGGTGTGCCTGTAGCCTTTGCAGCACTGTGGTGACTTACTGAAAGCCTACTAAGTCACGCTCTACACAAAACATTGCTTTTGCAAGCTCTGAGGCAGCAGGAAACGTGTCCAGAGAACAAAGGAGTAGGAAACTGGTCAAAGCAATAACAGGAGTAGCTAGCTCATGTAGATAATGTACGATTTTAATTGGGGTTGGTATAGATCCAAGTTACCAAAGGAGTCCAGCAGACCAAACTGTGGGCTAATTCAGAAAAACCACTGCCTCAGTAATCTAGTTCAGTACCGCTCTTTGTTGTTCTATGTGTTGGGAAAGCTTCTAATACTGATAGTGGCATCTTAATACAGTGAGTGGCATCCCCAGATAGCAAGCCAGAGTCAAAGCCATTCGGCATTGAATCCTGATCCAAATCCTTTATCTGGAAGAAACCACAGGTGTGTGTGTGTGTGTGTGTGTGTGTGTGTGTGTGTGTGTGAGAGAGAGAGAGAGAGAGAGAGAGAGAGAGAGAGAGAGAGAGAGAGAGAGAGAGAGAGAGAGAGAGGAGAGAGAGAGAGAGAGAAGGCTGCTCACTCAGAGCTTAGGAAGTCCAAAGGGATAGACTTTCTTACCCTGAAGCATTAAAGTGTGCAGAGGTACAAGTTTTAAACTAAAAATATTTATAAAAGACCAGCAATGTTAAAAAGAATATTTCATGTGTACTGGATGTGCCTTTTAGCAATAAAAATTCCAAGAACTGATGATTATTGTACCTCCATCTAGAAATGGACATTTTTTGCTCTGGAACATGCTGGCTTATTTCCTTCCCACCATAGGCTTTACCAGTGTATTATGCTTTTAAAGTTTACATGACATCTGTGTTACAATCTATTTTAGCTTTATTTATATATTCTCATTTACTATCGATGGTGTTAGACTCGGTCTGCAATAATCACCAGGCTTGGTGCCTGGCAATGGCATGTAATTTTTTGTGTCGCTTCTTAGTTATTATCCTTTCCCATACTTCTACTTGTATAATGGAAGCAAAGGCTAGTTGGAGGCCTGAATTCAACAGAGGGGAAAGAAATCCCCCTCTTACTGTAGGTGACAGTGGAAGGTTTTGGCTAGAGAGGACCACAGAAAGACAGTAACTGGGCAACCAGAGCAGCTCTTGGCGCAGGAAGAGGAAGGTTCTTCCTCCTGGTCATCCTGCAGCAGTGCGAGGCCATGCCTCTTAGGAGCCGGCTTTGCTGAGCAGAAAGCTTAAGGGGGTGCTCCTCCATTCCCTGTGTGCTTCCCCCATCCGCTGCGCACCCACTACTAGTCTTAATTCACTTTCTAATAATTTTAAACTCTTTTTGTTTTCATTTTTCCTATTCTAACAACATGCTCCTTTTTTAAAACATAGGTAAGTAGGTGGCATAAAAGCATATAACGTTTCCTAGGATTACAAAGTAGAACTAACCCTGGCCCTGCCATTAGCTAGACCCCACCTTCTGCCACCAAGTCACTTTCCTCAGTCCTACTGTGGTAGGACTGCCTGAGGGTAAGTCCTTAAAAAAAAGATTGACACAGTTGCCAGGAGGCATTTGCTGGATGAGATGCATCTGGCCCCAAAGAGAACTTTGAGTGTCACTTTTTTTTTTTTTTTTTTGGTTTTTCGAGACAGGGTTTCTCTGTATTGTTTTGGAGGCTGTCCTGGAACTCGCTATGTAGACCAGGCTGGCCTTGAACTCACAGACATCCGCCTGTCTCTGCCTCCCGAGTGCTGGGATTAAAGGCGTGGCTGCCACCGCCTGGCTTTGAGTGTCATCTTTTGAACTGGCATGTAGTGACTGCACTTTACACAGCCATCTGCTCAACTCTTTTTTTTAAAATCAGTTTGGAGTTTTGCTAAGTAATAAAGTTGCATGTTTGGAGTTGCCTAAAATTAGTCACGCAGATCCCAGGTTTGGCATTGCTTTGGTCTTAAGAGGGGGGAAGTTCCTGGCATTGCCGTTGCTCTAACCGTGTTCTTTTTCAGCCCTGCTTAGCTGGACAGTAGCTTGTCCTCCATCTTCTATATTCCAGTTTACAAGCTACTTTAGATCTCGTCTCCAGGTCAGCTGTGCAAAGACGCCTTTGGTCTGTTTATTCTCTGACTCCTCCAACAGCCCAGAAGTGGAAGATGGAAGTTTCTGTGGAGTCCTAGTGTGACCTCCACTACTCATAGACAGTAGTTTTGTGTTATTTGAGAAAACAAGCGCGACAGTGGACCCTTCCACTGGACTTTGCCTTGGTTTCATGAAGTCTCTCACGAGTATAAATCCCATGCAAAAGGGAACAGAGCACACGCTCTCCGCTGAGTACTCAAGGTTTGCTTTGCTTTTCCTGTGGACTAGCCTTCCCGGGTTTCTTTCCTTTTCATTTCTGTCAGGCCCATAATCATTGCATGAGCATTTGCCATCAGTGAGTGCTGGTGCTGGCGCTCCTAATTTCCTTTCCGTTTGATTTGTCATCATTTCTAACTTTTTTGTTTTGTTTTGTTGTGTTTTTAACTTGCAGTGCAAGCTTCACATAGAGCCGACCAAGCCAAGGACACTCCCGCATTCACCTGCTTTGGCAGTGATAGCGCCTCTCTGTCGCCTGGGCCCTGTTTGATCTGTGTTGCACCCTTCCCCACATACCAGTAACCCTTAGCGCATTTTGCTAAATGTTGTCGGGGGTGGGGGGTAGGAAACCATTGTAGAACGAGGGGATAAGAGCAAATGCTCGTGCGGCTAGACTTTGTTTCTGGAAAGTTGTTGATTTGCCTTGTATGCCTGCTCCAAGCGGCAGCGGGAAGCATGTCTGTCACTTCTGTGTCGCTTTGGACCGAGGAAAGTGGGGTAAAATACTACCTGTACGTCTGATGTGAAAACTCACCACCTCTGCAGCTGAACTAAGACCCTGAGTAGCCATGACAACAACTTCATTTCCTTGATTATTCATCTCGTGCTCACACAGCCCCTCAATTCAATGTCCCTTCTCCACAGTTGCCACAAGCCGTGGGTGCGCTTGAAAGGGCAGAAATGTGAGTTGGTATCGCAGACAGCTTTTCGCTGGTATGGCCTTTTCTTTTTATCACTTGGCTATTTGGTATCACTTGGCTATTTGGCCCGAGCTTGTGGTCTGCTCAGACTCTCATAAGGACGGAGTCTACACCAAATGCCCACTCTAAAGCCTGGGCGAGCTGCTGTAAGAAACATGGCTATGTTCACCTCCACACCAGGGAGTCCCTGATGCTTTCACAGGTCCAGATCTCAAAGACCAGCTCATTAAGTATTGCTTAGCTGAGGATGCTGGGCTCACCCCACCCCTGTCCTCCAGCCCCTCCCCACACACCTGCATTTGCCTTAAGCAGGCTGAGAGGAGACCTGGAAGTTGATTCCAGGATATGTATGGCTACTTCTAATAGAAATTTTCACGAATTGCAATGAAAAGCACCTGCCATGAATACTTCCTATACATCTCTTACCTGTAGCACCAATCTGAAAGGATGTCCTCACTGAGGGGAGGAGGGGAGTGAGCACAGTGTTCCATTACTCAAAGCAGAGAATGAAGAGGCTGCAGTCGGTCAGCTTCCCTTGGGCTCCTTGCTCTTGTTGACACACAGTTGTCTGTCTCTAAGGAATGTTCCTCACTTGTCCCCTCGCTGTGATTAGTTCTGCCTGCTCTGTCTCTTGGGGTCATCAGTCACTTTGCCCCCCCCCCATAGCGCTATCGCGTGTGCCAGGACATGCCCCATCTGCTTGCCCCTTTTCCTTCTTGTCTTCTGCTTGGCTGCCCCCTCTAAGGAGATCCCCTGGCTTTTCCCGCTGTCCTAACGTTTCTCGTGAGCCCAGTCCTTCGCCTCTACATTTCCCTCCAACATAGTGAGTTACACGTGAATAGGATAAAACATACTGTATCCCCTCTGTGACATACTTGGAAAAAAGGTCCAGCCAGTCTCTATCTGATCCCAGCCAAGTTTGTATGGTCTCCCTTTCTTCATCTCCCAGTCATTAGAAGAAAGCACTGGTCTTTCATAAACTGATTTAGGCTTCCTTAGACAAAGTAAGGAAACTGGCTCCGCTGGGGTGCAGACCAGGCTGGGACAGAAGACACAGAAGGTTGCAGCAATAGCCGCAGCGTCTCCCTCCCTCACCCCCCCACCCCCCACCTCCGTCTTCACTGATGGGGGAGGAGTGCCTAGACAGACGCTGGCTTTGCTTCCGTTCCTCTAGCTGGCAGAGGAGCAGCAGGCTCTACTGGCATGCTCTACCGGCATGCTCTAAACTGGCATGCTCGCTAACCGTGGCCGCGTTTGCTTCTTCGCTGGGCACCACACAAGACCTTGGGTGTTTGTATTGTATGCTTGTTCCAGCTGCTGCTTGTGTGAGCATTTATTTGTGCCTGGTTATAGAAAATAACCCTTTGCATTTGAGTTCTCACATCCCTAAAAGCTTTTTAAGATAAGCTCAGCAAACATTTTTTTTTTGAAAAATCATCCAGTTGACTTTTTGATGCCAAGATTATTGATTGAATTTTTTTTTTGCTTTTTTTTTTTTTACAGTAAAATAAATCCTATGGAGAGTCAGGGAATAATAAAAAAGCTTTAAAAAGAGAAAACCCTGTATTGCTTCTAAAGCTGTTTCCTCCCACTGCTCCCAAGCCTCCTGTAGCTCGTTATTGCTGCTCTTTTCTTTCGGTATCTATGCCTTTCTTCACAGTAGTCCCTGGCTCTGCACGGAGTAAACGATGCTCTCAAATCTAACTGGATGTGCTTTCACCTTTGCATGTAAGTACAGGAGTAAGAACTCTGAGCTCTTTCTGTTTCCGATTAGGGAAAACAAATGGGACAGATGAGTTTTTCTTTTGGAAGGGGTCCTGAAGGTATAGTCCGAGTAGCCTTTTTTTTTTCTTCTTCTTCTTCTTCTTCTTCCTTAAGCTAAATCATCTCTCCCGCCACATTTATATTTTGCCCCATGGCTTATGCTTCCTCTTGATCTCAGTGGAGTAAGGTTCTGGTTACTGATTGCAGCCATTGTTCTGCACAGCACCATGGAACAGGCCTTTGACTCTTGACAGTGGGAGAGAGAAACTCCCACCGTTTACTGCACAGAAGTCTGGAAAACCGTGTCTCTGCGGCTTTTCTGATCCCTTACAGTCTGGGTCTTAGTCTAATGGCACAGTGGCCACTTCTATTTTTTTGTCGGATGGCTTTGGCTTCTCCCTGAGCATCTTTTGCTCCTTCTGGACTGTGTGTCCTGTAACAGTTTCCGTACTGCAGGGTATGGTGGAGCGGCCAGCATGAGAATTGAGTGGCAGCTCAGGACTGGTTTCCCAGCTGGGGCTCTTTAGTAATTGGTCCAAAGGGGCATCTCTGAGCAAGGGGAACCGTTCCACTTGATACTGGGTTTCTCGTTTTCCTCCCTCTCTACTTTGTAACTCACCAGCATAGGCTCCCACCTCCTTTCCATCCTGTGCCCCTCTGATGGGTGGACTTGGTCATCTAACTTTCCTGATACACCCTAATATTCTGCAGAGTCAGGGTTGAGTCGCCCCACGCCTACACCCCCCCCCCCATCATACTGTCTCTGTGTGGTCCATTTGAATCCCTTGGCTTTGCCATTCACAAGTGTCTGGATTTGTCGGGTGTCAGTTTCCAAAAGTCCTAGTTCCATTGACAGGACATTTATTATGGAGTTGTTAGCTGAATTATGACCTACAGAGTCTAGTTTGTATGTAGGTATGAAGGGAATTTTTAAAAATAAATTGAAAATTAAGCTGTGAACAGCATTAGAACTTTGTCTATTTCTTGATTTAAAAATATGCTGATATGCCTTAAACTGTAGTTGTAGAACTGTCATTTTTGCTGTTTGAAGATAACTAATGTTTTCTAAACTTGTTGTGTAATCTTTCAGTGTTAATGCAGAATTGTCATGTATGTAAGCTGCATGTTAGACACTTGTCTTTTTTAAGAATTAAGATAATTGTATTGATGTGAAGCATATCCTTCCTACAAGTATGAAAGTGCTGCCTCAGCAGCCTGCTGAGTAACTCCAGTGTCTGTAAACATGGTATGGTGACAGGTGACCTATGCATATATCACTAGTGCCAAGACCTAAAGCAGGGAAATATATTTTTACCCAACCGTTGTTCTGTGTGGCCATTTGTGAGTTCTTTTCAGTCCCTGCCTGACATGCCTGTGTGCACACACGTGCTTGTTACATCACATACAGACATGGGGATGGCCGCTGTCTCCTGCTTTCTTGCCTTGTGTGGTGGACTTCGGTGCTGCTGTCTGGTTGACCAGCTTCTCCAAGACTTGTCCTGTGGTGTCCTGCAGCTCACACATTCCTCACCACACTCGTCCTTCCTGTCCCCACCTGCTCGGTGCATCCATGACCCTCGGCGTCCAGCAGAAGCATCCTCCCCTCCCTCCCTTGGTCCGGGTGTCCACATTGCCACCACACCGTAGCACCCCCCCCCCCCACCCGGCTGTGCTTAGTGATACTGGCCCTTTAACTGACACGCTGCTACCTTCACAGCTGGTTGTAGAGAAGTGCGCTTTTGTTTTTCTTTCGCTGTAAGAATCGATTTGAATCTGAACCTTTCTTTTTTCTCTCTGTAGCTTCTTCTTTATGTAACCACCCCGTTGCCAAGCCCTACTCTCTCTTAATGGACAGCATTAGAAGAGCAGGAGCTGCCTGCTCACACACGTTGGGGAAGAGTTACCTCATTTCTGCCATCGCCTCCCGTCCTTTAAAGTCTGGGTCACATATTGCACTGCTGTTTGTTTGTCAATGTGTGTTTACAAACCACCACTCTCAGTGGCTACCGAAGTGACTTCAACTACCAAAAATAGCGACAATAACATTAATTTAAAAAGTAGAGAGCTTGGGCCCAAACCCCGGGTCTCAGGCTGGAATCCTCTTGCTTAGCTGCCTTGAACCTCCTGATCTAAGGCCTTATGGACCGAAGAGAACATCTACCCACTTGAGGTGGCCACCACCTGTGGAGCAAACTTAGCTCACAGTACCCCTGATCTCTGTCCCCTGGGCAACTCTCACCAGGCCCATCAGAGGTCATAGAGTGGTACAAACCTTGCCTTCTTCTGTTTTGTGGGTTGTTTTGGTTTGGGATTTAAAAATGTATATTTGCTATTGCATGTACAGAGGCGGCTGCCGTCTTCCCTCTGGAACGTCCTATTGATACAGTGTTTTTATTTTTCAGCTGACCATCTGCCTCTTGAGAGAAAGAAGTGGGCATCCTTCCTTTAAGTTCAGGAGCCATTTTTTATTTGACTCTGTTACCTGCACCCCTTACATAAGCTGTTTGGACAGTTCTGCTCATTTTGGGGGTGGGGGATTCCAACTAGCCAGTCCTGCTTTTTGTATTTGTTATTCAAACTTTTGGTATCAAAAATTATGCCAGTCTTAAGCTCACTTCAAGAGAAATTACGTTAATTTTAAGGCTCAAAATTCTGTTTCTATGTTATCTTAGATGCAATTTGAAAATGCCCCCTTTTGTTACTAGAGTTTTGATCTACACGTCTTAATTATGTTTGAATTGTGCCAGTGTTGGATAAATGACTTTTCTGCCTCTGGGGCTCAATTTATATTTAAAGATATCTTAAACTAAGTTCTGGCCCCTCCCTGCCTGTGTTTGTTCTGGAGCCCTGCTTCACTTTCTGTCCATGGTTTATCCTTTTCTTTTTTAAACCATGAAATGAATACCAAATAATGCATATATCCCCTCCCCAGTAACTTTATCGGTAACAAAGGTTCAATTCATGTCTTCTCAGAGGGTTCACCTGGCAGGCAGACCCCACACTATCTGCAGAAGGCCTGCTAGGAGTGAAAGCGTTTGCACCAGATCACTTAAAACCCACCCACACCCAGAAACACGCGCCCACTGAGTGAGCTTGTGATTTCCAGCGCTAACCGGTCTGTCAAGGTTAGGACACTTAAATACTATCCACCTCTCAGACAAAAGTCAAGGGACAACTTCCAAATTCCTATCTAGTGTAAAGAATGGAATTAACTTCCAAATTCACTATAGCTTTGTTTGCATCTTAAAATATTTCCATCTCCATAGGAGGTAGCTCATGATGCTGGTGTGAGTTGTGTTTGGTCACAAGCCTTTGAAGTGGTCCCCTGGTCCCCTCCGTAAGAAAGGTCCGTAGTGCATGGATTCCAGGTAAAGGATGTGTTTGTTGGCAAGCAGCTTGCATTGCTAGAAAGTATTTCCAAATTTAAGTAAAGTCACTTCCACTGGAGCTAGAAGGTGACCCAAAGTCCCTTCAGTGTACAACAGCAGAAATTCAGTGCTGTCATTAGAGTTAGTGTAGCTAAAATATTACATTGCTATGTTAAGCGTGAGGTCATGCTAAAACTACTAAGTTAATTCACTTTATTCTTAACTTCCTTCAACCATTTAATATCAATTTTATACCACAACCCAGTTTTAAAAAGCATTTCAGGTCATAGTCGAGCAATGTTTAAAAATCAAGTCTGGTAGTGGGGTTTTGCTGAAGTAGAGTGTCCAGTTTTATTGCTCTTCCCTTTGTTCTGAGACCCTAGGTGAGACATGTGAGTGGACCATCTTCCTGGGATCAGGGAGTCTAAGCAGGCTAGCTTCTTCAGTGACCCTTGGGACCCTGGTTGTAGAACTCACTGGCCAAGTACCTCATAGTCTGTCTCCTAAGATAAACTGCCATTTATCTGGCGTTTTGCTGCAGGTGGTTTCTTCTCTCCAATGTTGACAAAACCGGTGGGTCCTCAGGTCCTCCCATGAAACAAAGCTGAGGACAATCACCAGCAACAATAAATGCATTGGTTTATCCTAATCTGGATTGTGGGAAGGAAAAACAGAACCAACCCACTGGAACCTGTTTCTGATGGCAACAGCCTTTTTATTTTTCACTCAAACTTTAATTGCACACAATTTCAAATACTTGTTTATCCAAATATAGTCTAGGTGTTCTGCTTGAGACCAGCACAGTATATTAAGAAGAACTATGTCCTGAATCAGTGTATGTTCAGCTGGGGTGATTAAAGAAAAAAAGGCACACATCTCAATATGTTTGACCCACATCCAGACATCGCAGCATTGATGTACCAACCATACGAAACTCTTTGGTTGTTTTTTGTTCACCATTGACACAGACTATGGGGCAAACATTTTTGGATGTCTGATACAATTGTGACCATATTTAATGACCTACACAAGCCTTTTGCTTTGCTGATAGCCATCTTTCTGCCATGGAGATGGACAAGGCACTGTGGCTCCCTCAAAGACCCTTGTGCTTCAGTGCTTATAGTCCACCTAGTCCTTTATGTCTGCTGCCATCTAACTTTCACATCAGTGAAGGCAGTGAATGTATTCCTTTGAGCCTAACTGCCCATTCCCTCCCCTCAGCCTCAATTCTCGACTGGTAGCTGTCTGTAAGTGCTATCTGCAGATGTCTGCAGAGCATCACATGAGATACAGCAACTTTATGTCTGCCTCATTGGTGGTGGTACCTTACAGTCCACTGTGGAAACTTAAAGTTGTAGCTGCCAATGAGTGAAGCAGAGGCTGTTACCCTGAGCTTGAGCCTTCCCAAAAAGCACAACTTAGTGTATGAAAGGAATGGAGTAACAGCATACAAAAGTTCAGCAACAGCATACAAAGTTCAGCTCCGCACGTTTTCTCCAAGGGGTTTGAGGACAGCTCTCCTAGCTGTCCCTACCTACTCCTTCCCCTTCTGAATTCTGTATTCTGTACCATGTGCCCAGCCCACATTAGGAGCTGAGAACACAGCCACATGCTTCCTTGTACTTATCCCTTAGTGCACCTCCTAAGCACAGCAAGTGTTCGGAGCAAAGAAAAGGGATGCCATGTCTCTTGTCTATCAGAGACGAATCTTACTCTGAAAAACAACAGGGCTCCATCCTCCCACAAGCACATTTCATGGTTGTTTGTTAACGACGGTTTTCATTCTGGAGTGTCCCCCCCGTTTTCTGTTTCCACTAAATGAACAGCAAGTTCGTTCACATAGGTTAGTTGCTTTTTTTTTTTCTTCTGTTCAGCTACATGTTATACAATACGCTTAACAGTTCTGAGTCAAGAGTTGTTCTTTCTACCCTTAACCCAGAACTTGTATTGCAGGTAAGACATTCTTGGTTACCTCTTTTACTCCTTTTCAATGAAAGAGTACAGAGCTGCTCAGCAGTGCATCTCACATATCAGCTTGTCCAAATCCCTGGAAAACTAACCGCTCAGGAACAGAAAACATCTAATTCCTAAATGTGTGTGCACTTTATCTCCTATGTCTTAATGATTGGTTAAATCCAACTCAAAGCAAAAGCAGCAGGATTCTGGGATCTGGACGCCTTCTTGCCCTTCCTTTATTTCCAGTCTCCTTTGTGAGTACCCACAATTCACTGGGGTGCCTGGCGAGTGCTCTGGGTTTTCTGCTGGCCTGAGACACAGGGTGCAGCCATTGTCTGCCCCTTGCTACTAACATCTTCAGTCTCACAAGCCCACAGCACCTACTCCTTAAGCCATGTGCAACTACAGGGCCAGTGACACGGCTCTGTATTCTGGCAGACCTGAGCGCTAGCTTGGGGCCCCAGTGGTAGAAGAAAACCAACTGCTTCAAGTTGTCCTCTGATCTCCATCCATACACCACAGTACGCACATGCATGCCTCAAAATGGAGTAAAACTATAAAATGTGAGGCTGTATCAGGAGGACTTAGTAGCCAGATAATCATTTATCTGCTAGTACCACAGTCAACCTAAACAACTCAATTTCTCATGAAGTTAAAAAGATGATTTATTCTTTTTCTGGGAGCACCATCTAGTGGCCAGAGCTCAACATATTAGTAATGGGTATAGTAGACCTCATTAATTAACATAGCTTAAAGGTTCAAGAATTTGGGAGCTTTCAGAAACAGCATTCCTTTTAGGACTTCCTGTCAAATAAAAGGTGAAGACTTGAGATACTTCGAAGATAACTTCATTCAAAAAAACATCCTTCAACCCTCAACTTGTGATGTAAGGATGTTTGCCTCTCAGGATGGTGAGAACATTTGGCCAGGACCTTCCCTTTTCCCTGGAGATCATGTTGCAGGCACATCAACAATTTGAACACATTTTCTTCTCAAAGGAGAGAAGCCATCATTTGCTTTGGGCAGTGAAGTACAGCTTGAAGTACAGCAGACAAACAGTAAAGTGGGAACCTATAGCTTCTTGCCAGTTTCCCTCAGAGCCAACTATGGTGTCAGGAACGCTAATAAAACCTGTGACTTTCAGTCGGGGTATGGACCAGCTCCCCTTACTCTTGTAGAGAAAGCATTCCACTCTCCACCAATAACCATGATGCAGCAAATAACTTCTAGTTTCAACCTGCAAATACTACATCATGGTCCTACTTTTTCTAGGGATTACAGACATTAGTTACCATGCCCATCCTTTGACCTCCTTTCTGGAGGATTCCAGGATGATGCACCTTTTAACCACTAGGAGGCAATAATTACAACACATAACCCTCACCCAAGCTTCCAAACTCTGGTAGTTTGCAATGCAATGCCAAGAAGTAAGCTGAGTAGCTGAGGGCGAATGGGTAAACAGCAGGAATATTCTTCACCGAAATTCTAGTGTTTGCATTTGGTCTCAGCCTGAAGATCTAAGAGTGGGTTTTGAGGGATGACTGGGGCTCTGGATATTCACTAGGTTTAGCTGAAAGGAAAATGGCTCTCAAATATTACTACTGAACCAAACCGAGTCAACTTGTTTCAGTGTGTCCTATGGAAAAGATTCTCCAAGCTCGCTCTACTGGTTTTTAAGATGCTCTTGTTTCAGCCACTTTAGTAGCCAGTATCGCAGATGCATGCCAACATGTTCACCATCTGCATTAGGAAACTTGAAGATCAAGCAGCTACAGTCCTACTGTCTCCCACTCTTGCAGCTTGTAGCTTCTGGATTACAGATGAGATATGCAGACTCTTAGACTCAAGTTTTAACCCACCCATCTGAGTGTGTGTGTGTGTAGGGGGGATCCCATTCATACCATACAAACCTGGAGATCTCATAATTCAGAATTGAGAATTGATTTTACAAAAACCTCTCTGTACAACAATCCCTTGCACACAAAACATTTTTTACATGTTTTCTAACTTTTACCCTTATGCTTCCCCCAACTGGATTTTTAAGATCATATAAAATAAGCAGTTAAAGGTTTTTAAAAAGTCAGATGTTGGCCTGAAGATACTCTGCCTCTGCTAAACTTAAAATAAGCCAAAAATACTACATATTGCCTTATAGGCAATTCCATTAAACAGTTGTTAACTGTAAGGTAGGTTCCAGCCCACCAGGAAGGAAATACTAAAGAGAGATCCTAAATGTGTAAACCATTCACATTCAGCACCCTTCACCTTTTACAGTATGGCCAAGAAAAGTTATTTTCAGGTTTCCTACTGCTTTCCTTAGTTGGAAATGAAGTGCCCAAGAAGTCAGAAACCACACCTTCTCAAAAGCAAAACCAACCAACCAACAAAAAAACCAACAGAAACCAAGGTTAAGGACAACGTTTTATTGCTACCAGAGGCTTTACCACCAGTACATGGTTCTGACTGCAGTGCCTTCTTCAGACTGCAAAAGGAGCTCAGGGCCCAGAAGTCACTCAGAAAAACAAGGGGAATAACTTGTTACCAAGACCATCCTAACAGCTTACTATAAAGCTAGGGTACTGAACTCAATTTTAAGTTACAGACCCAAATCAAGGTTGCCCCAGTATCTAGACAGTTGCTCCTAGTGATTGTAAATGAATGAAATCAGATCAGTTACAAAAACCTAAGTATATGTTACATACATGTTTCTTTAGTGAGCACCGGGATATGTTAACTTTATAAGAAATTCTTTATAACAAATGTCAAAAATGCTCAAATGTCCTAATTACATACCACTTTTAAGATATAAGATAAACTAGAACTGAAATGAAACATACAAAATAAGAGAACTTTTTCTATTACCGCTGATTCATGGGGATAGATTGCTTCAAAGTGCCCATTTCAAACTAATGAACTTGAGTCATGGACTAAACATGGCTGCCACATAAAAATAACTTGTTTACTGAATTGCTTTTAAAACTAAAGTAAGAACACATATATCAACAAGCACAAAACTTACTAAGCATCTAACAGAGAGGCAAGAAAAGGAGAGAGAAATGAGGTCACTGGGAACAAGGTTTCTAGCTATGAATTTTTGCAACTTTCCCCCCTAAACACTGATTTTTATTTTATTATTATTTTTTGGACATGGGGCAAACTATTATTTTAACAAAGAAAAAAGTGGAACTGACATAATACAAAGAAATCTTGTAAAATATATCTTGGATCTTGAGTTTATAAATATATGCGTTTATATTAAATAAGGTTGAATTATAAGTAGCCGCACAAAGGAAGAAGGGTGTTTTCTATTTTCCTGGCTCACTTCATGCAGTCTGACAAACCAAATGCCCTTCTCTTCTCTACAGCCTCTCCTGGTTTTCTAGTCTCACTTCCGAGTAGTCAGCCCTAGTGTGCACGGGAAGATAACACCTGACTCTACTACATGACTGAGACAGGCTGCAAAGGTGGACAGGGAGAAGCGTGGCCCTCTTGCCTTGATAAGTCAGTGCCACACACAGAACCCACATTCTCTGAAGCACTATCTTCATTGTAGAGCCGCTTGATCCCATCGTAGAAGTCATCCACTTCCATTTCCTCCACTTTGCGTTTGGCAGAGGTATGCTTGCAGCCACCAGCAGCCGGCAGATGATGGTAGAAGGCTGTTGTACTTCTGACTGGCACTTCTGGCTTGCTGTTGTCCTTGGAGAAATCTGGGCCTGCGACAGAGGAGGGATGTAATTTGAACACTCCTCTATCGCAGGTCACCAGGGTGTGCTTGAGGGGACGGTAGACATAAACGGAATTTAGAGGCAGGGAAGACTGCAGAGCAGAAAGGTGATGTGCCGCTAGCTCCCGACAGTGGATCAACTGGGAGCTGTCCATCTGGAGCAGGAAAAGAAAACGACATGGATCATGAATTCAGAGCCCACTGTTACTCTTACTAGCCACTGTCCATCCTGGGCCTGCTCTCCCTTCAGCTTTCTTTCCCCCCACAGCCTCCACCTCACTCACTGATTGTTCCACTACAGAGCAGTCTTCTGAAGTATGTTCATGTCCATGCTTCGAACATAAATCTGCACTTACATGGACACAAACATTCTTTGTTCACTGCTGTATTAGCAATGTCTGTCTACAAGGCCTTTACTGAACTCTCCTGAAAACAGGCACATGGTAGTCAACAATTTAAAGAAGATTTAAAAGCAATGGAAATCATTAAACTAGGGGTGATGGGAAGTTAGCTAAAATATGTAAGTATTGTTTTAAAACAACTGGAAATGTTAAGCAAATCCTATTATTGTAGAAGATAGTAAGAACTTACTAACAACACTACGTAGTTAAACAAACACTTGACCCCCTCAACTTTTTGAACACCCCAATCTCCATGGTCACGTTTCTGTCTCAACATGCCCTCACGGTTAAAGCATGCAATCACAATCATCCAGGTTTGCATCTGGTGACTACAAGACTCAATTAGGCATAAGTCATAGTCATCCCTTCTCAGCCTGTGGGTCCTGACACCCTAGAGGCCAAATGACCCTTTCATAGGGATTGCATAAGACCACTGGAAAACAGATGTTTATATTGTAATTCATAACAGCAGTAAAATTACAATTATGAAGTAGCAATGAAAATAATTTCATGGTTGGGGGTCACGACCTGAGGAACTGTATTAAAGAATCTCAGCAATAGGGAGGTTGAGAGCCACTGCTTTATACCGATGTTATTGAGTGCAATGGAAGGACCTCTGCTTTAATTTTAACTTAGAGCCCTGTCTGAGTGACCTTCTGTAACGTTCTTTTTTTATCTCACATTTCTTCGGTGGCATGGCAGTACCTTCAGAGTAAGCCACACTCTCTAGGAGTAAAGCTCTGTATAAATCTGACCAACCTTCCTTCCCAGACTCACTTCCCAGTGTACCTCACACTGACAATCTACACTCCTGCAAACAGGAGTCTATTTAACACACAAATTGGCCCTTTTCACCTTTCCCTTGTTTACCTGCTTCTATATCCTGAACGGTTATCTTTTCCCTCCAGGAAGCTTATCCTGGCCATAAAGTACAGGAGATCAAGTTTTCCCTGTTGTGCGTGTGTGTACATTTTACAGCAATTTGAAGTTACCGTCCCTTGCTGTTCTTTTTTTTCTGCTTCTAGATCAGCCTGGCTACCACTCCTGCTCCACCTCCCAAGTTTTGGGATCAGGGGTATGCCCTATCATACTCAGCTTATTTTGGACATTTCTTCCCCATCTTTAACTCACCCCAACACAGCCTGAAGTACATACACAGCAGAACTATTTGTAATACTATAGGGAATAAATCCTGCTCTACAAGAACACATTCTATCACTATATATATTCACTATGTTAACCAGGAGAGAATCAACTGGACGAATACAAATGTAAAGTGAATATGTAATTGAAGACTGGCATCCACATCTGTTCACTTAGCCTTTTAAGACACTATGGGGTAAGACATTTTAATAGTCCCTAACTATTAAGGATGTGTGTGTGTGTGTGTGTGTGTGTGTACTACACATGGAGGAACTTTGTGCCATCAGTCTGGTCTGGGTCTCCCCTTCCACCTTACATGGGTTTTAGGGATTGAACTCAGGTGACTGGCTTGATATGGACTAGAACTAATTATGAGCTCAGTGATATAGACCCTGCTAAAACTAATAAAAATAGATAAGGAATGGGGCTTCCAATAATTTCAAGCAGGATAGCATGACACATGTGATAGGTCCCAGAGAACCCACATGTGGTGAGCAGCACGAAACACTGAAAATACCTGTGGGAATGTTGGGCACCTTTCAAGAGTAACCAAGAGTGCATGGTAGGAGGGTGTGCACTCTAATCCTCTATTTCCGTTCTAAATAAGAACTACTACTTTGACCACTGCTTAGCGGAGAAACTGCAACACAATTTACCTGATAATCAGAGTAGGTCACTATAGGTCAGAAAATGGAGGACGTAAGCATAGCCATGTAAATAAACAATAAAGGAGTAAAGAGAAAGATGTGGTCCTTCTAGCGCAGAGACCCACAGTGGCACAGGGATCTTCAAGTGGGCCTGGTAGAGGGAAGACGAAACAAGAGCGTCTTGCCTTTCAAGCCAGAGGATGTGTGCCAACTGTAGAAGGAGCATGGGCAGAGTGAAGACAGAAACTGCGTGCAGAATGGGGATGTAACTCAGTGGCAGAGTACTTGCTTCACATGGGAGGCGGCGGTACTGACATGCTCTGATGTAAAGCTCCTGATACCAGAACCTCAAGACCTTGCATTCTGATCTAAATCAAGACAGGTGAACTTAGCAAGGCCAAGAACTACGCCCAGAACTAGTGGCCATCATGCTGGGTCCCAAAGGACAATCCTCATGCTTACACATAAGAACTTCACCCTCTCAGCCATCTCTTCAGTCCTGGACTAGACTTTTAAGGTTTGAGTGTTATCAAAACAAAAGGGGTGGTGATGGTTCTGTGGATAAGAGCACATACTGCTCTTGCAGAGGACTCAAGTTCAAATCCCAGCACCCATATCAGGTAGCTACCACGGGCTCCTTTTAGCCTTCACAGCCAAGAAGTTCTATGCCACTCTAATGAACTCTCAAATTCCCTAAACTGAAGCTGTAATTAATGAGTTATATGATTTCTAAGATCCCATCTGGTCAGTTAAGGAAAAGACACGTTTAAATGAGGAATATCTTTGAGTTCCAGAACACATACAAAGAAAATCAGTAACTCTTAGAGCTGTGCACTAGAAAAGGGAAAAAGATTCATCAGTTACTATGGACACCAGCTTGCAAATCTAAACCTGAATTCTCTCAGGTGGCATGAGTAAAACAAGGCTTTTAAATAGTTCCTAACACACAGCACAATTACTTTACTACATCTGAATAGAATTTTCTCTATCTAAACTTTTCATTGTACAGAGGTGGTTAATATTTGAAACCGTTACAAACTCATTTTTTATTTTAAACTGAGGGTTGAGCCCAGGGCCTTCTCTACCACTGAGTTAAATAAATCTCCAGTTCCTCTTAGTTTTATTTTAAACCACAGCAACCCTCTCGATCGCAGTAAAGAAAAACAAGAGTGCAATGAACAGAAGGGAAGATGTCAGCTACCTGTGCTTTCTGAAGCAGTTCAATTGTAAGAGGAAGCCAATCAGGAATGAGTTTCTCCATTTCCAGACTAACCATGGCCAGAGCAAGCATGGATCCTTTGAACTGCAGAAGTTGGCTGCAGGTCATACAGTGGAGTAGTTGCTTGGTCAGGAATGCCAAATGTTGAGACGGGCTCAATTTGTGCAAACTGAAAAGTAACTGAGGCCTAGTTGACACCGCAATGGCATGGAACTAGGGGAGGGGAGAAAAACCATGAAACTGTTACTTAAGGGACATAACTAAAAGTATACATAGAAAGAAATAACTTCTCGGGTGCTATACAAGTTTGTAATTCAGTGATTAGATATTTCAGAATCTAATTTTTCCTTGACTAATTTCAATAGGTTTCCCCCAAACCATACCAAATATATCAACAGGCAGCCACTGTACTAGTGTTCAAGTAAGAACTAAAACATGTGGCTATACTCACAATGTGAAGGAAATCCAATGGTGTGGCTGTGTGAAGATCCCAATTCAATTTATCCAGAATAATTCTCTCCATTCTCAAAATCTCAGATGTGGAACAGCCACAGAAGCTGTCCCTCGCCAATACTTTTAGTACTGGAATTTTCTATTCAAGGCAAAAGGAATAGGAAACAAACTCATCTTCAATAATTATTCTGACAAACAAAATGTAAACTAATAGAAAAAAATTTTAAAAAAATGAACTGGAGAGATGGCTCAGTGGTGAAGAGCAGGGTTCAGTTCCCTGCACCTACATGGTGACTCAGAACTGTCCTAACTCCAGTCCCCGAGAATCCTATGCCCTCTCCTGACAGCTGTGTGCACCAGGAATGCAGTACACATGCATACATTCAGGCAGAACACTAATACACATAAAGATAAATTTTAAAAAAGATAGTCCATCTTCTAAAGCAAGCATTTTGGAGGGACAACACATCTAAACACTTAACTGAACCTGTAGTTTACAACACAGCATTCATTTTTAAGCCCCTAGAGGCGCAAATGACCAGGCCCTGCTCCCAGACTACTCTAATGGCTGTGTCCAGTCCCTGGAGACCAGACAAAGGTGGCCAAGCTCTGCCCTACAGAGAAAAAAAGCCCAAGATCAGGCCCAAAATTCCACCAATCTCTGAGCTTGCCCCAAGATTAAGCCACAGAATCCTACTAATTTCAGGCCACCCCAGAGAGCCCCCTCCCTAAGAAACATTACAGAAAGCCTGCCTCACGCCTAGTTCTTTGCTGTTTCTCTAGAGTAGAGGCAGCCACCCCCTGTGCCTTTCCCAATATATCTCCTGTGTGGTTTGTTGTGGAGTGTGACTTTGTGGTAGTCCTTGGCTCCCAAAGCCAGGATACCTTTCCTCTCAGAGCTGCAACACTATTGGGGAAACCTTTCCCCTTAGGAGTATAGTACTTACACATCTAGTAATGAAGGCTTCATTAAAAACAAATGAAAAAGACCCTCCAAGCAAAATCTACCAAAACATAAAGATTAACCCTTGAAAGCAGTCATTACCTCATCTTCTTCAACAGTTTTAGCAGCTAGAAAAAAACAGCTGATTGCAATACAATTCAAATATTTTGGATGGGCCTAAAATTTTGAAAAGGAAAAAAGCAAAATTAGTGATTATATTGAACTGAGAGTTTTGTTTCTAAAACCTAAATATATACATTTAGCTCACAGTTCCCCCAGTTTACATCTTCCCAGGCACAACAGTAAGTTTCTCTTCTGTCCTTTCATACCAATCATTACATAAATGGAAAGCTCTGAACTTGAGTCATTTCCAAAATTTTAAAACAAAAAGTACTATCCTCCTGACATCTCCACATCTGCCACAACAGCATGCTCACTAGTAATCCATGGTTTAACATGAAGTCCTTGCACAAGAAGCTGTACTTGAGTGTATCTTATAATACTTACTTTTACTGTAGCTAAAAACCTGTCCAAAAGACTGCTTGCTAGAGCAAATGTTTCTGGGTAAAGGTTGAACTGGTATTTGAGTTTAGCCAACCATTGAATTACTTCATCTCTCTGGGATGGAGAAACGTTCTAAAAGGGAATAATTTAAAAAAAAAATACAAAGATCCAGTCAGCATTAGTGTACATTTAGAGTCCTCTAAATACAGGGCTGACAAGACAGCTCAGCAGGTAAAGGCACTTGCTGTCAAGCTTGACAGCCCAGGTTCAATCACTGAGACCCACTGAGAGTCACTTCCACAAGTTGTCCTCTACCCTCCAACATGTGCTATGGCACATGCATATCCACATACACAAAATTAGTAAATGTCATAAAATTTTAAACATTAGGAAATACAAGAGAAAATGCACTAGTAAGGTAAAATATTTTAAGGTCATTCAAAATTGCACTTTAGATGGAAATATATGCTATATCACATTTAATATTATCTGATAATTAATTAAAATATTCACTTTTCATTTCACCAAATATCTACAATTTGAACTAAGTTCAGATATTCAGGAAACAGAACATTTTAATTTTAAAATTTAAGTAAATGACTACTGATTGATAATTTTAAGTTTTTTCAACTCTTGAGACTAGTATTATTTCTGAGTCAGGAACTACCCATTGTCTTGTCTTAGGAAATATAAATGGACTACCCAATCAAACAGAAGGATTAGTTCACTAAAAGCAAAACAATCATTTTAATTTCCCTAAATACTATTTTGAAATTTTGAGTAAAGGCTTGCGTGTTAAAAGTTAAAAATACACTTTAAAATAATAGGGGTTATTTTACTTTTGAGTTCCAGTCACTACTAAACTAACATACTACTGATGCTAAATTAATATAACCCTTCCAGGACTAATCACAAGGCCCAGATGTGTCTCAAACTCACCAGTTCAGAACCTGCCTCCACTCTCAAGTGCTGGGATTACAGAGGCATACCATCATACCCAATTTATGTAGTGCCTGGGACTCTAGGCTGCATACAAGGAGACAAACTACCAGTGGAGCTATACACCCTAGTCCCTTGTATACCACAAACTGTACAATGTAAGCACATGAAGTCCCAAACTGGAAAACTGTTTTCAATAAAGGATTATCCTACAAAATATATATGTCCAAGCACTGAAGTATGCTAAGCCATATTTCTTTATAAAGTACAGTATAGTGATCACAGTACAAACACTTCTCCTGGTGGTTGTCAATCTAAGCCAATTCTTTTACCCACAAAATTACCCTACAGCTATTAAAATCTTCAATGACGGTCTCGATAGAGTGAGGCTCCTCAAGTAGGAATTTTAGCTAGAATTGCTCTATTGTTCTTGGCTTCCTCTCCTGTTATAGGGAATGAGTTTCTGCTCATTAAAGTCCTTGCCACTGCATCAACTGCATCTGCTGACTTCTCTCATTCGTGGTCCTCCTCCTCCACTTGCTGTCACTTTTCTTGTCAGCGTTGACATGACGAAGTATTATTCTTCTACATTACTGAATCAAGTAGTACACTTACATAATTCTTACATCTAGCTCTACACTCAGCTATAACTGGTATTTTTAGTGGAGAATTAACATACACCTGCCTTCTGGTCCACCCTTTCAAACAACTTCACAAAGGGGAATAGAAATACTAGTAAGAGCTGGGCAGTGGTGGCACACATTCTTAATCCCAGCACTCAGGAGGCAGAGGCAGGTGATTTCTGTGAGTTTGAAGCCAGCCTGGTTTACAGAGAGAGTTCCAGGACATGTTCTAAAGTTACAGAGAAACCCTGTCTTGAAAAATCAAAATGCGAGAAAAAAATAATACTAGTAAGACAAAGGCGATTTACAATCTGTTTTATTAACTCACTACAAAGTTAAAATAAAGTTGTTTACACTTCAAAACTTAAGTCTAGTCAAGCAGACCATAAAATGGTATTAAACCAGAGTTACATATGGTGCTCTGGGGACACCTGAGCTGGTGTGGGAGTGTAATGAAATCTTCATAGAAGAAACGGGAACTAACTCCCATCTTAAAAAACAAGGTGGGGAAATCACCTGTGCTACAAAGGACAGAAGTCTTGGTGTTTAATTAAGCTCATGGACCTTATGGAGGATAGAAATGACTGCAAACTCAAGGCAGTAACAGAGTTATGCTCTTGTGAAGAGCAAACAAACTAAGGTGGGTAGAGAACCAGGACTATCGCCCAGAGAATCAATCCTAGAATTCCATGATCTAACTAGAAACGGACATAAGGTAGTTTTGAGAATAAAGCTGTCAGCCTGAAGGTTCTTACTGCATAGAGTAGCAGAGAAATGTATGTCCCTCAGTTTGATAGAAAAATGGAGTCAAGATTTCTTCTTTAAAAGGCAGGGTCTCATGTAGCCCAGGCTCACTACAAACTTGCTAAGGAGTCAAGGATGACTTTAAACTTGTGATTCTCCTGCTTCCACTACTGGGATTCCAAGTGTGCACCACCACACCTAGTTTATGCAGTGCTGAATACTAAACCCAGGCCTTCACCTATGTTAGACAAGCAGTCCAGCAACAGAGCTGCACCTATAGCTAACCCTTTGACAAAACACCACTGTCTAGGAAAGAGGACATCAGTACAGTCTTGCAGCTAGGATCTGGGTTAACTATCAGTTGGCAAGGTCCTTAATTCCACAATTTCCTGTATTTTCAGAGCCCCAAAGTGCTACTTAATACAATTTAGTTCTATCCCCTAAAGATCTATGGAAAGTAATGGTAGTCTCTTCCAAATAAGAAGTTGAGCACTTAAGGAAAAATTCAGTCAACCAAATAAACATCAAGAAACAAATTCACAAGAGAGGTAGGTAATGATACCATTTGATGCAGTGGGGGGCGGGGATTCTTGGAAACGAAAAGGAACAATGAACAGGAGAGGAATCACAAGAAACAGGGCCAATACTAACTATACAGTCATGTCAGACACACAATCAAAAGGGAGAAATAACATCTTAAATAGCAGACTATATCTTTAGCTGGTACACTTGACTTTAAACAAAAACAGACATACAGAAGATGAACGGAAGGAACGTATGTCACTTTCTGCCTTAACCTTCATACTCTAACAGTACTTAGACTGATCTTCCTTACCATCTCCGTTTCCATGCTTAACCGTTCCTTCTAGATAGATGAAATAAATACTCCTTTCTCTATTTTACTTTATTGTACACATACACATAGACATTTCAAAATACTGGGTATGGTTCTTTAGTTACAGTACTGCTGTGACAACCAGGTCCTGAAGTATGAACCATGATTCTGGAGAGGAAGCCATGAAGTGGTAAGTCAACATTCTGAGATAAGGCAAGCAGCTAAGAGGAAACTGGTAGATCATTTAGTAGTTGCAGAGTGAGACAAAAATCTGAGACTTGAAAAACCAAGGAACTAGTGGGAGTAGGTCAGAAATGTGAAGAGGAAAAAAACCACTTGGCAGATGATATTAGTTTTTCTCAGAGCTTTGACCACGTTACCTAGCAGAACCATTTACAAGGAGGGAATACTTATTCTGCCTCACTGTTTCAGAGATGTTAGTGGTGGAGACATTGGAGGAGGAAGGAAAGAGAAAGAAGGAGGTAGAGAAGTAAATAAAAAGGCTAAGACAAGACTGGATCCTAGAATGGGCAAGGCGGAGAGATAAGAAAGAGGAAGCAGGCAAACAAAAACGGAGGAAGAGGCCAGGAACAAAATACCACCAAGGTCTGGCCCCAGTGAGGCCCCATCTCCTAAAGTGTCCAGCACCTGTGAAAAATGGGGCCACCAGTTGGGGGCCTAAGCTTCTATACACTGAGTCTGTGGAAGACATTTTATGTTCAAATTCTAAGACTGATTTTCCTCTTAAAACATTTCCTGGATGTTCACTTTTAATAACATGTAAATAAATCTCATCCAACTCAAGTCCAGTCCTCAATTAGCCTAGCCCTTCCTTGGACTAAAGCAATTAATCCCAATTCAGCTTGCCCACCAGAGGGAAGCCTGAACCCTCTACAGAGAAGTACCTCTATGGCATAGTACTTGCTTGGGAAGCAGAACATCCTGGTTTGATCCCCAACACCACAAAGATAAAAAAGAACTAAGTCTATACCATTTTTTAAATAACTGAATGTTCAGTGTTGAATCAAACGTTTATCAGGAGCAACAATAACAAAAACCTAAGTAAACAAACTAAAAGTCAGAGAACAATCACAGATGTCAAGGATGCTGTGTAACTCCTCTAAAACACATTCCCACTGACCTGGAGCTCATAATTAAGTTGGTTGAACACTGAACTCCAGGAATTGTCCTGCCTCTGCCATACCAGTGCTGAGACTACAAGTGTGAGCCCAGCATTTTGAAATGGGTTCTGGGTAATCAAACTTGGTTCCTCAAGCTTGGGAGGCAAACACTACTGGCTGAGCTATCTCTTCAAACTCACTAGAAGCAGGTATGAAGTTCAATTTAGGAAAATGCTTGTAATAATTAGAAATTAGAGCTTTTCTAAGATAGAATGGACCAAAAAGCAGAGGAAAACCACTGCATTATCAGAGACAGTAAACAAAATGTTCCAAACTTAATACATACAAACACAAGTAGGAAGCAGTTTTAAAACAGACTCTAGAGTCAGCAGGGTGGCTAAGTAAGGGCATCCAAGCTGTGCAAACTTGATTGATCTAAGCTTGATCCCTGAACTCCAGAAACAAATCCACAAACTGGTTCTATGACCTCCACATGAAGGGTGTTACATACCCACACAACAACAGCAATAAAGTTACTGTTGCTACTCAAAAGGACTAAAATGATCCTTGTCCCTTTTGAGATAGGGTGTTATTCTTAGCCTACTGGCCTAGAACTTTCAGAAATCCCAAGTTCTGGAATTATAGGAATGCTCTACTACACCCAGCTGAAAACTTCCAATTTTTAAGAAATTTCAGGTAATTCTGATCTATCTAGTCGCCAAGTAGTTCATGCACACCTTGTGTTTCAGCTGTCCTTAGCGTAAATCCTGTTTTTGAAACCTTATAATTAGATGGTCTAACAAATCCATTTTAAAGTTTGTGTGTGACAGGACTTTCTTTGCAATGGAAATCACTTTAGCAAAATAAATGTAGACTATCTGAAAGTGTCAACTATTTTAAATTTTTCCCTAAATTCATTTAATGCAACTATAAAAAACTTCAACTATTCTATAGAAGAACTTCTCTGTAAGTGCCAAGAACACAAAATAGACCACTACTTGAATAAATTTTAAGACACCATAACCATACATTTAAAAGTTTAACTGGGTGTGTTAACACACCTGAAAATCCAGCACTCACTGGGAGACATAGGAGATCAGGAGTTAAAGGCTAGCACTCATCTGCAAACAAGTGTGAGGCCAGCAAAGGCTATACGAGACCCCAACTCAAATCATCATAAGAAAGTAATACCACAGTATGTCAGAAACAATGACACAACATCACTACCCAGGAAATTCAGTCAATCAACAGGAAATTATACCACACGAGAAGTACAGAGTTCTATGGGGATAGGGAGGGAAGTCACAGATATAACAGGATTATTTTCTTACCTAGCCACATTTTGCTCAACATTAGAGGTGGGGCTAAAATTAAAAAAGCACTGTGAGAAGGCCTTGCTGTTGCAGGGAACAAGTAAAGAGAAGTAAAAGCAGAAGCAAGCAGCATAAAAGGAAGTCCTAAAATACTGCACTTTTCTATTTTTACCAGCATGTAACAGTAGAAAGGCCAGTCAGTCCATGACCAGGAATTACAATTGCTCTTGTAAACCTAAACCCATATCCTCTCCTATTCCCATCAGAGCAAGCCTACTCTTAAGGTTAAAGTATTAAGTAGAACTACTTGGCATTACTAAAGCAAGTCCTTAAACAGATGAAATGCCTTGACTAATGTCCTCCTGTTCTGACTCCTTTTGTGTTTGCTTGGCCAGTTCTCAGGCCTCTGCTCACCCCAACATTCACATCTGTCTTGGCAACGCACATGAAATTGTCATGGCCTTGACCATGGTCCAGGTGTATTAACCAAAATAATTAGACTAAAATAACTAGAAAAGGTGTAAGTCAAAAATAATTGGCATTTTTTTTTTTTTTTTTTTTTTGGTTTTTCGAGACAGGGTTTCTCTGTGGCTTCGGAGGCTGTCCTGGAACTCGCTTGGTAGTCCAGGATGGTCTCGAACTCACAGAGATCCGCCTGCCTCTGCCTCCCAAGTGCTGGGATTAAAGGCGTGCGCCACCAACACCAGGCAATAATTGACCTGTTATATCTAAAAAAATTCCTAGGCTCTGCCAGGAGAGAGCATTCATGGTTACTCTGACCCTCATCTAACTTTTATGTATATTATGATCTTTGTGGGTTTTGTCTTTAAAAATTCTGTATCCGTGAGTTTAGTTGGGAACCAAGAGACTTTTCAGAGGTACAGCCTGCTCTTGGTCCAGCCATCAATAAAAGGATTAGACTTTTAATTTGCTTAAACAGAGTGGTTGTCAATAACTATCTCACGTGGATCATTCACAGGTCCTCTGCTCTCAGTGCATGACCAGTGGGCAGGAAGGGCGGAAATGCCTGCTGATTCACCCACTGTGGGTGCCTAAACCAGGAGACCTTCAAGGATTTTGCATCCAAGGTTTAAAAAGTTTGTTACCCAAAATAATGAATGCTGATGTTAAGTTGACGCTAAAAATCAGGTAGAAGGAAAAAGAACATCCCAATGTTGGAATTCCAATATACACTTGGATATCTTTCTAAAAGAACAGATGCAATTTAGGAAGGAAATTCAAGTTAAATTAGAAAATCAAGTTCCTGAACAATATATGCAAAATCTCATGCCACCTCTAGTGTTTTTAAAACTGACGTTAAAGGCAAAGGAAAGTAAGTTTTCTGGAGTTGCTGCTTTCAAAACAAAAACCCATGTATATTTTGAGGTTTTTCTCTAGGGAACCGAACCGTTATACAAAGAAAACTTGTTACCAACTCATTTTGTACAAAATAACCCACTTGGTATCTGAAATATATAGGCATTCTAGTCATGCATGTTAGAGCTGCCTAGAAAAAGGTTTAGGACCAATGAAGCCACCTGGAAAGGACACTCTTCATCCTGTTAAGTTGCCTCAAAAGCTGTGCAGTGTGCACCAGATTGTCAGTTTTTTTGAGTTGCTACCCATGCAGGGGTGGGCCTCAGTATAGTTGTCTTTGAGTCTTTCGTAATCTTGTAAGTAATCCCCCCCATATTCCTGTAAGTAACTCCAGTTCACCGAGTTTGGACTTTGGTGGAGAAGTAGACTTGTATCTGTGATGTGTCTCCTCAGAAAACACCTGTCACACATCAGCAAACTTGGTGTTAAGAGTAACTGGTTAAGGGTGTGGTCTCAAGGAATATTTGTAGCATTCAGATCAACATTTGCACAATTTACTAGGAATACATTTGGTATCAGGGCCAGCAGGATGGCTCAGTAGGTGGAGGTCCACAGCTCAGACCTAGCAAGCTATGTTGGATCCCACAGAGTGTATGGAGAAAAACATACAAATAATGTTAGGATTTTATCTCACATGTCCCAGAATTTTCTGTAAACTACTTTAAAAATTTTATTCATACTTTAACAAACTAAATATCCTTTAGTTTGTAAATTCTACTTGATAAGGGAGTCAATATTAGAGATAACATAGAAATGTTGCAAGGAAAGTGATCCATTAATATAATCCATGATTATTCAATTTGGAACTTACATTAGTGTAAGATTTGACCAATGACTTTAACTGTACGATTCTATAAGCCACAACATAAATACTTTGTATCTTTTTGTGACCAGATTACAAATATTTAAAATTGTGTTGTAGTTGTCCTGTATCTGGATATACATTATGCCAATAGTACATTTCTAATAAAACATCTATCTCAAGAGAGAAATTACCTGAGTTGTAGGCATTTTCGGCACATTGACCTTCCACATCTGGGCTTCCCTGGAGATTGCCCTTTCCAATAGGAAAGACAATCTCTGGTTTTCCAAAGGTCCTGGAAACTTCATGATATCCCTTTGGATCTGCCTGCCACCCAGCTTGATGTGGCTACCTATTAAAATCAAATATAAATAACGTTCATCGTTTAATTACAGAATAAGTATAATATGCATGGTTTATAAATGTTAGTACTTACTATGCAATTTATAAAACAAAATAAGAATGTTATGAGGCAGAATAGGATTTTATAGCTCTTTAAAATACCATACATTAAAGTTAGCGACAATGTTATCTAAAGTATCCTCACCTTAAATCTGAAATTCTAAGACCACTGAATTTTTATATTAGAAATTCTTAGAAACAGTTGTTCCAAACATTCTTCCTAAAAACAAGTAAGGGCCATTACTTTTGTTATCATTTAAACACATCAAGTTAATAATCATATTAAACCATGTTAAGTCATGTAAAGAGTAACAAAATTGAATTAAGGAGGTCCTTAGTCAGATTTCAAATGTTCACATGTTACCAACTAAAAAATCATCATCTAGAAAATATTTTGAGATGAGTGAAAAATGAAAACATCAAAAACTTACAAGATGCAATTAATTCCTGAAAATGCCTATATTAAAATATCCCAAATCATTAGCTTAACATCCACCTTAAAGGACAGCATAAGTCACATGGTGGTGCATGTAATCTCTGCACTTCTGAGGACCTGTGCTACACAGCAAGACCTTGTCTTTAAAAAAAAAAATTCCTTAAACCTAATAAACAAACCCCCCAAAAACTGTGAACTAGGTCTGGTGGTGCACACTTGTAAACGTGGGAGATAGAGACAGGAGGATGAAAAGTTCAAAGTCATTCTTGGCTACACTGCAAGTTCAAGACCAGCCTGGGCTTTTCAAATAATTAACTAACTTCGGGACAATGTGATGAAAAGGAGAAATCAACTGAGAATTAGTATGAATAGGGTCCAGTTTAAATACAGTTGAACTGAACTGGCTCCTGTACTGAGTGAGAGGAAGGTGTATTTAAAGGACATAACTAGATCAAAGAGATAGATAAATGCAATGTTGGCAGTAGGTTATAGACTGTATCTAGCAAAACTACATTCACTAAAATTTTAAAATGTACTGTAATTCTGTAAGAGAAAATTCCTATTCATAGGAGATACAGAATTTATGCCACATACATAAAACAAAAACAATGGGTAAAACTCAGAAAAGCATTTTTACACTCCCATTAATCACAATACTAACTCTCTTAATAATCTGTTTCTGGCTCTTACTTCCTTTTCTGAACAGAGATTATCAATGTAAGCCTTTAAGGGTCTCATATCTACAATCCCCTCCTTGACTTCATAGACCAGAAAAACACTGGGTCATGGGTGACTCCAAAACAGTGCGTTCAGTCTCTGTGCTAGTCACTGTTCTTCCAACTTGCTGTGTCTTCTGCAGATCAATCCCTCCCACTAAACTTGCTATCGATGTATTAATGCCACCTTTTGGAATGTGCGGCAACAACCTCACCTTCCTTTATCTGCACGTGGATAATCCTACCTTTGCATTTAATATGCCACCACCTCTGCTAGACCTGCTTTTTCCAACTAATGAGTTTCTTGACCACCAACAGTTCTCCAGAATTTAGCACCATGCCCAATAAATAACAGCTTACACGGATCAGGTGCTTATCAAGCAACAGCCCTGGATGCTTTGTTATTTGTCAGCTATTGTTCTTATTAACCTAGATAGTCCTTGCTTAACACTACGACAGTGGAATTCCTAATTCCATTTAAAAGATGAACAAGCACACACAGGTAAGTTGAGTTTTTAAAGAATTACACGACCAGAATAAATACTCTTCGCTTCTAATCTTGACTCCCACCCCCTCCCTAGCTACAAAGCCCTAGCTGTCCAGAAACTTGCTAGGTATGGGAGGCTGCTGTTGAAAATGCTCAGTGGCTCCGCATCCAGAGTGAAATAGAAGTATTTTACTATGCTAGTCTTCAGTTGATCCATCCACCCGATACCTTCTACTATTTTTCCACAATGTTCAACTTCTGCCTAAATCATCTGCGGTGCAGACGGTTAACGGAGGGCATTTTTCTGTCCTTTACGAAGCACACAACTCAGTTTCCTCATCTTTCTAGTTTCCTCCACCAGCCCAAGCCCTAGGTAACCTTATCCTCCCTCAATTACCGCGGGGGCGGGGCGGGGCGGGGGCGGGGTGCGCTCTATTTGCTTGGCATTCACTCTGCTTTGCCCCGTGTATTTTCTTCGTGTGGCCCCTCACGATCCGTAGCCCCGGGGGGGGGGGGTGTCCCTTTCTTTATTAGCCTGGCTCGCGGAGCCTGCAACTGGAACCCCAGTCGGTAACGCACCGTGGCTACAAGTTACTGGGGGACAGAAACACCGGGCCGAAAGGAAACCCACCCAGCACTGCCAGAGGCGGCGGGGGGGTGGGGACAGGGGGCGTCCCCAAGGTGCCCAGATAAGGACCGCCAAAGGACCGGTCCTAGGGGAGCGGCGCGCGCCCCCGCGAGCTCTCAGTCCGGCGACGCGCACGGCGTCCGCGCCGCGCCCCCGCCCTCACCTTCTCCTCCTCTTCCTCCTCCTCCTCCTCCTCCTCCCCGGCAGAGCTGTAGGCCTCACAGTGGTGACGCGGGGTCATCCGGGGGCCCGTTACCACCTCATGATCCTCGGCGCGCGGCGGCAGGGCGCGCGGGACCAAGGGCCGGGCCGACGGGGCAGGGAGAAGAGGGCGAACCGGGCCGGCGGGCGCGGGCACTCGGGCGGGACGCACGGCTGCAGCCCAAGGGTCAGTCAGCGAACTAATTCCATGATGACCCTGGGCCCGAGGCCGCCGCCGCCGGTCCCGCTCCTCCGACCGCCGCCGCTGGTGCCCGGGTGAGGAGGGGGCGCCCTCTCGCCATAGGGCGGCGGGGGCCGGGGAGAGGCGCGGGGTGAGGCCGGCTCTGCCCCTGCCCGGGGGAAGCGCCTCCGAGGGGAAATGGTGGAAGGGGGAAGGGGAAAAAAAGAAAAGAAAAGGAAGGGGAAAAGGGGGAGAAAATAAGAAAAAGCGAGGCAGAGGCGCTGGCGCGTCCGCTCGCGGGGAAGGCTGGGGAGGGAGGGGCGAGCAAGAAGCGCCGGCCGCCTAGCTCCGCCCTCCTCGCGGACTGATCTCGGCCGCTCGCGCGTCTGTAAACAACTCCCGCGTTCTCCCCCACAACCTCCGGTGTCCCGCGGGTGCGTGAGACAGTTCTAACAAATCTGAACCTCTGAGAAGATCTAAGAAAAGTGGTGGAGTTGGAGAGGAAGGAGAAAGTGCGGTTGGTGTGCACAAAGAGAAGGAAAAGTGCACGGACTCGTTTTCGTAGGAGAGCGGTGGAACCTTTCTCCTTCCGCTAGGTGACGTAAGCGGCTTGGATAGCCAAGGAGGCGTGCGGAGGCCGGAGAGTGTGCTGCGCATGCGCCTCGGTAAATAAAGGCGTCTCTGAGCGCTCGCCCGAGGGAGGGGTTTCTGGGTGAGCGCCTATGCCCAACCTGGTATTTTCCAACCCAACTGGCCTCTAGAGCTCCTAAGCGAATTTCTTGAACGGGGTGGATGATTTTTTGTGTAAAGCTGACATTCTTTATTGACCTCACTATAAGAAGCTATGCTGTCCCCTTCCTATTGACGAGTTTGGGCGTGTACCTTTTTACTGTCTTGAGGGTGATGGGGAGTCTCTGAAACACTTTAGAAATCAGAAAAATTAAGAGGATCATATCCTGGGTGCTTAAAAACAGTGAGTTACACTACTGACACTTGGCACTACGCCAAGGGAATTCAAGTTACCAATCAATATGTCTAGCTTTTCAGGGTCCCCTTTTGTGTTTTATGAACTTGGAGTCCTTTTTATTCCAGTTGGTAAATTTCGCCTGTCTTATAATGGTCCTAATTATGAAAAGAATGCCCTCTTAGCAGATAGCTTTGACGGGAACTCAGCCATTTATGTAGTCAAGTACTCATTTTACATCAGTGAAAAAAATGTAGACCAGGTTCTTACAAAACTGGGCTTAGCTTCAGGACAAAGAGTTTGCAGTTCAAGCACAGTGAATAGCCATTGAACTAACTATCACGATCTCTAATCACCTAATTCTTTACCTAATGTTTTACTGTACAGCCATCCCCTCCCTAGAATAGAAGGTCATAGATGGCAGGGATCTTGTGTCCTTTGTTTTATGCTACGTCTCTGTGTGAATGGCTCCCGGTATTTGACTACTGGCTGGATAAACTAGTAACAGTAGCAGAAATATCAAGATGGAAAGCTGCAGGCTGCTATGGAAGCACCCTTAGCTGGTTGGGCTCACTGAAGGTGTCTTTGAAGGGACTAGGATGAGACTTGAAACCATTAGTCAAGGAAGAGTCCAAGCAAAGGGAACAGCATATGCAAAGACGCTAAGGCTGCCTGGCCTTCCTCTGGGAATTGAGGGGGAGAATGCTGAGACTAGGGAGGAAGTTTCCACCGGACGCAGTGGTGAATAGGAAGCGCTGGATTTCAAGTAGGCTGTATGTGTGCCCTGTATTTCTCCACATCTCTAGTCCCTTTCTGTATTGTTACCTGGTCTTTAGATGACCATCATTTTTTTTCTGGATTGTATTCTCAAGAATATAGCTTTTCTGCATAATTTAGCATAGCACAACTCTACTGTTGGATGGTACAGTCACCTCTGGTTCTCATTCCTGCAAGAATGACAGCTTAGAGTCAGGAGTACAGCTCCGTAGTATTCCATTCTCCTAACTTGTGGAAGGGCTTCGATTCAATCTCTCTTAACACCACGAAACCCAGGTGCGTGCGTGCATGAGTGCGTGCTTGAAGAATTTATATGTGGAGGCTGGATAAATGACTCAGGGGTTATACAGCTTTTGCAAAGGGTCCAAGTTAGAATGGCTCACAACTGTCCACACCTCCAGCTCCTGGTGACCTGGAGCTCTCTTCTGGACTCCATGAGCACCTGTACTACACAAGCACACACCTGTTTTTAAGAGAAGACATATGCAGATGCTCACAGAGCATTGTTCCTAGTAGGTAAAAAGTGAAACACAGCTGAAGCTGCTTCCTCACCTACCTATCGATTACTTGGATTTCTACTTACAGTACTGTGGGTTAAATTGCCACTGGCAAACATGAACTTCGAAAAGGAATGCCAGTTTATAATTGAGAGTTCTTAAATACCCCTGGTAACAATTTAATTGGCTTAATTCTTATGTCAAACAACTTGACAAAATATTTGTCAAAAGCCATAAAAATGTAAATACTGTTGAATGCAGGATGACCTCAAAGAAGGTTATACATAAAAGGTATTAGATTTTTTTTCATTTTTCAAGTAACAGCTTTAGTGGCGTGTAAACTATCTATTTAAAGTGTGTGGTTGACTGGCCTTTAGTATATTTGGAGTATTCATCATCACAATCCATTTTAGAACATTTTCATCACCTTGAAAATAAACCAAATACCCTTCAGGTTTCACCCACCAGTTCCATGCCTGCTCCAGCCCAAAGCAATGTGCATGACTCTGCCTCTCTAGATTTATGTATTTGGAACATTCGTTGAAATTGATCTTTTGCAATTGTGTGCCTTCTAGAAACCAGGGTCAGGTGTCTGAAGAAAAATATGGATATTTTTCACCAGGTAAAAAGTTCTAAACTTTTCTTTTCACATGAATGGGTGTTCTGCCTACCTGTGCATCATGTCTGTGTCAGATCTCCTGGACTGGCGTTGCAGGCACTTGTGAGCTGCTATGTGGGTACTAGGAATTGAACCCGGGTCCTCTGGAAGAGCAGCCAGTGTTCTCAATCCCTGAGCCATCTCTCTAGTCCCCACCATTCATTTGCTATCTTTGGCTCAAGAGCTTGTATTTTGCAATGAAGTATGGTTTCATGGTGGAAAGTTATAAATCCCCTGAGAAAATAAGTCTTATAAAGACAAATGTCTTAGTTAGAAATGTATGTTTTTATAAAGTATTTTTAGGAATGTTTCCCAAATAGTTTTTAGAATGTCCTTCATGATGTTTGAGACTGTGGCTTACTCTGTGGTAGGCATAGCACCAAGCACCTTCATTGTATCTTCTGTTTTTCAAAATCCCCAAATAAGTAGAAGTTTGTTGTTTGTTTGCTTTTGCTGCCCCAGTGTTGAGAGAAAGCAGCAAATGTCGAAGGTTGGGCACACAGAGAGGTACAACCAGGACTTAACCCAGCTTAAATACTCCAAAGCTTGCTTATGCTTTTATTTATTTATTTATTTTGGTTTTTCGAGACAGGGTTTCTCTGTATTGTTTTGGAGGCTGTCGGTCCAGCCCGGCCTCGAACTCACAGAGATCCGCCTGCCTCTGCCTCCCGAGTGCTGGGATTAAAGGCGTGCGCCACCACCGCCCGGCATGCTTTTATTTTTTATTTATTCCCATGGATATTTCTGGCTTTGTTAAATTTTATAATAAAAACACATACCCTATGATTGTTCTTTGGCTTGCCTTTAATTAAAAAAAATACCACAAAAAACTATTTTTAACACTCTAATGAGTAGTTTTTACTTTCGTTTCTAAATTGTTTGCCTTGTTTTTGGAGAAGGGGCTATTAATATTTAGACTAACTGGGCATGGTGACCCACACCTTTAATCCCAGGTCTTAGGAGACAGAGGCAGGTGGATCTCTGTGAGTTTAAGTCCAGCCTAGTTTACAAAGAGAGTTCCAGGACAGCCAGAGCCATACAGAGAGACCCTGTCTCAAAAAGGAAAGAAAAAAAAAAAGAAAACAAGCTGGCTTCTAGGGGATAATAATAAATAAGATAAAACAAAAACTAACATATCCAAATATGACAAAACAAACCAAAGAGCTCAAGCAAAGGCACAAGAAACAGATACAGATGTGGAGGCAGGCTCCTTCACACAAGAATAAAACACATTAAAAACACAAAATGGGAAGCCATACATACAAAGGACCTGCAGAGAGAGAGAGAGAGAATATATATATACATATATATATATGTATATATAAACAATTAAAAAGATAAAGCCCTGGACATGACATAAGACAAGGAACCGCTAAGCCATTGAGTTCATTTTCTGCCGGCCATCTACTGTGGCCATGTGGCTTACCCTTAAGAGCAGTGTGTTTCCCCAGTGAGATTCCGAGAAAACCAAGTTTTCATTTGCAGGTGATTGTCAATTGGAGATAGCTGTGGGTTAGGGACAGGGCATGTGTCCACTTCTCCTTTCAGCTCTGAGACCCCATGTGGTGCAGACCTGTGTATGCTGTCTCAGTCTCGTGTATGCATTGATTTCATGTGTGCATTGATCTCATGCATGCATTGATCTCATGTATGCATTGGTCTCATGCATGCATTGATGATCTCATGCATGCATTGATCTCATGTATGCATTGATGATCTCATGCATGCATTGATGATCTCATGTATGCATTGGTCTCATGTATGCATTGGTCTCCTGTATGCATTGGTCTCATACATGCATTGATCTCATGTGTGCATTGATCTCATGTATGCATTGATTTAATGTATGCATTGATCCTGTTGGTTTGGAGAACCTTGTTTCTGAGCCACTCTGGCTCTTACATTCTTTCTACCTCCTCTTCTGTAGAGTTTCCCTGAGCCCCAAGGGGCTCTTTCTCCCCCATTATTTGCCAATTTAATTTAGATCACCTTCATGTATGTAGGAAGATTCTACTATATTGTTTCCATACTACCCTTAATTTTAGCTGTCTCTCCCCATATTCTCTCCCAGTCACCTTCTTCTCTCCTGCTCCCCACTTGATCGTCTTGTTTCAGTCCCCCCCCGTCTGTCCTATTTCTATTTATTATGGAGATCTATCTGCCCCCCATCCCTTACTCTGCATCTAACCTCTGTGGTATAGATTGTAGCTTGGTTATCATTGACTTAATGGCTAATATCCATATATAATTGAATATGTATTTTCATATTTGTCTTTTTAGATCTGAAATCCCTCACTCAGGATGATTTTTTTTTACTTCCATCCATTTTCCCGTGAATTTCATGATTTCATTTTTGTAACAGCTGAGTAACATTCCATTGTGTAAACGTACCACATTT